GGGTTGGTCGTCACAGCTTGTTTGACAGTCTGAAATAAGTATACGTTAATTATGAATTTCACAACAATGTGACAAATTTAGAATTTTCTTGCTTTTAGTCAAGGAAACTGTACACGGCCTTTCCGGGATCATAACGTCAGTCAGTCAGTACGAAACGCAAATGCGCCTGCCACTGACAGGTCTAGGTTGGCTTTACTTTGTAAGCACGCCTGTGAGCATTCGTTTCAAACTTAGATGGTCTGCTGAAACATTTGAGACAACAGATAGGGAAAGGGGAGACAACTGCATGAATCTCCATTTCTATTATGTAATTCACAATTTTCAAAATTATCAATTTGATCACACTTAACTAGGAAGCATTTTTTTTTTTGTTTAAAGAAAGAAATATTGTAAAATTGTACTTGAAATTAGAAGCCAAACACCTAATACCCGTATCTTTAATAAAGATAACTGAAATGGCTTTATGCGGAGTCGGATCTTGTTATAGCAGGCTATAATATCATGTGAGTAATAAGCTGGATGAGAAAAACATTTTCAGTTCCATGATGAATAAATTATATTTGTGACACAATGTTCGTTATTTTGTTGTATTTTCTATGTGTATTTATCTTCATAATCAATGAATGATTTGATTGTGGTAATGACCATTTGAAAAGATAGCAGTGCAAAACTTGCATTAAAGTCTTCTTTGGCCACCTTCCGAAGCATGCCTGTCAACCTTTTACCGTAATAATGATAGTATATATCCCAACGGAACACCGTAACAATCGCGGTAGGATAACTGTTAGTCTTTTACTGTAAAAACTAGGTATATATCCCAACGGAACACCGTAACATTCACGGTAGGATAACTGTCGGCCTTTTACTGTAAAAGCACAGTATATATCCCAACGGAACACCGTAACAATCGCGGTAGGATAACTGTTAGTCTTTTACTGTAAAAACTAGGTATATATCCCAACGGAACACCGTAACATTCACGGTAGGATAACTGTCAGCCTTTTACTGTAAAAACTAGGTATATATCCCAACGGTACACCGTAACATTCACGGTAGGATAACTGTCAGCCTTTTACTGTAAAAACTAGGTATATATCCCAACGGAACACCGTAACATTCACGGTAGGATAACTGTCAGCCTTTTACTGTAAAAACTAGGTATATATCCCAACGGAACACCGTAAGAATCGCGGTAGGATAACTGTTAGTCTTTTACTGTTAAAGCACGGTATATATCCAAACGGATACCGTAACATTCACGGTAGGATAACTGTCAGCCTTTTACTGTAAAAACTAGGTATATATCCCAACGGAACACCGTAACATTCACGGTAGGATAACTGTCAGCCTTTTACTGTAAAAACTAGGTATATATCCCAACGGAACACCGTAAGAATCGCGGTAGGATAACTGTTAGTCTTTTACTGTTAAAGCACGGTATATATCCAAACGGATACCGTAACATTCACGGTAGGATAACTGTCAGCCTTTTACTGTAAAAACTAGGTATATATCCCAACGGAACACCGTAAGAATCGCGGTAGGATAACTGTCGGCCTTTTACTGTAAATGCACAGTATATATCCCAACGGAACACCGTAACAATCGCGGTAGGATAACTGTTAGTCTTTTACTGTAAAAACTAGGTATATATCCCAACGGAACACCGTAACATTCACGGTAGGATAACTGTCAGCCTTTTACTGTAAAAACTAGGTATATATCCCAACGGAACACCGTAAGAATCGCGGTAGGATAACTGTTAGTCTTTTACTGTTAAAGCACGGTATATATCCAAACGGATACCGTAACATTCACGGTAGGATAACTGTCAGCCTTTTACTGTAAAAACTAGGTATATATCCCAACGGAACACCGTAACATTCACGGTAGGATAACTGTCGGCCTTTTACTGTAAAAGCACGGTATATATCCCAACGGAACACCGCAACAATCGCGGTAGGATAACTGTCAGCCTTTTACTGTAAAAACTAGGTATATATCCCAACGGAACACTGTAACATTCACGGTAGGATAACTGTCAGCCTTTTACTGTAAAAACTAGGTATATACATACCAACGGAACACCGTAAGAATCGCGGTAGGATAACTGTCGGCCTTTTACTGTAAAAACTAGGTATATATCCCAACGGAACACCGCAACAATCGCGGTAGGATAAATGACAGCATGGCTGCCAACATTTTACCGTATAAAAATCACAGAAAGGGTTTACAATGTAGTAAGAATTGGCACTTCATGTTTTTACGAAAAGAAAGGACTTTGAAGAAGCATTGTTTGCGTATGGTTGTGTCTACTTTTTAAACATCGGTTGCAAGGACATTTACACGCATACATTGGACGTCAATGACATCAAATGCCTTTGGAAAAAAAAAGTTATGATAGTTATATTTTCTCTTTCAAAGCAGAGGTGGCCCAGTTCAACCTTATACGCATCCGCCCTGTACCAAGGCACCCTGGGTAAAATGTGTCCCCAGCACCCCATGATTGCTGTTTGTAAGAGGCGGCTTAAAGGATCGGGGGGGGGGGGGGGGGGGGTGAGGCCCGGTGACTTGGTTGATAGCGAGTCAACGTATCCATACGTCTTGGAGCGTTGTTCATAACATCAATCACTGGATTGTCTTGTGCAGGTGGTTAGTGCGGCGTAAAACAACAAACACACACACCTTACGCATCCCTGCACTGTCACAGTCAAGTGGGGAGGGGACGGGGATGTTCTGAGGAGGCCACCCCTCCTTTTTTAAATGTGAAACCATTGCATGATAACATGTTAATTTGGTGGTGAAAATACAATTAATAATGGTTTACATATTAATTGTATGTGTGATTTTGTTGGGGGTGGACTTCTTCCACCCCACAATTCCACCCCACACAGAGTAGTAGAACAGAGAATGAAAAGCCTATGAGAAATGCTCATTTAGGAGACAAACCTATTGTGTTTTGAAATTTGATGTAGTTCCACAGTGGAAGAGATAACTCTTTATTTTAATTTTGAACCGAGCGCTTTACTTCCTCTATTTGACGCTATGCCGTCTGTTAATTTCGCGAGAGCCCTTGCCTCGGCGTGTATTAGAGACCCAGCGCGTAATAGAGGAAATATAGATACGTTTTACAGTTCATATGGGGTGATCGATCGGCAGCCATTTTCTTTGAATCGATATGTAGTGTTGGCTATCTCGAACTATGTATTCATACGCACGTTTTTTTGTGAAAAGGCTTAATATATTTGAAAGGGGTTTCCGTAGCAAAAAGGAAACCTCTTTTTGACCAATCAGAATCAAGCATTCATCAATGTCATGGTAGAATCTCATTTAGAACCTCTTTATTTTCATTGACATGCTTGCTGTATAAGGCGAATATGCTTGTCGTAAGAGGCGACTAACGGGATCGGGTGGTCAGGCTCGCTGACTTGGTTGATGCATGTCGTCGATCCCAATTGCATGGATCGATGCTCATGATATTAATCACTGGATTGTCTGGTGCAGACGGCTGTCATATAGCAGGAATATCGCTGAGTGCGGCGTCAAACAACAAACATACCAACCAACCAACCAACTATTTTCATTGAAAACTACACTAATGGTGCTGGAATTGTATCCACAAATTGAAAGACGTACATCCATCACACAGAAGCAGGTCTGGCGTTACATTCCACGATGACAAATTGAGGTACAGCTGACCATGCTAATGCCTACAACTACGCTGATGGTCTTACGTAGGTTTGGGTAGGTGGTCTACAACATTACGTCAGGCCATGCAACACTCCTCACCACAAAGGTTGACTGATGGGTCAGAGAACGACCAGCTGACCACAGAGAGAACACGGAGCTACACGTTGTTGTGACGTCGGTTACAGCTGCACCTGTACGTCATCAACGACTTCGGATTCAGAAGTTGACACACAACAGTTACTGCTTGTGCCCAGTAATTATTGGCCCATCAGTTCGCGTGGGCGCTTTGTCACGTGATATCTCTACATGATCCTTTTCAACTGATTTAAAAGTATGAAAACACTGGTAGCCGACTGCTTTGAACAACTCGCGAGTTTCTTTGTCTGTTTGAACTACCAACCAGGACAGAGCGGATGCTCGGGGAAAATATATGGAAGGCAACATCTGAATGTAATAAATTCTTGGATGGATTTTTCTTCCATAAACTGGGAGAAAATGTATTCATGGCAAATACTATATATGTCTTTCATGTAAAAGAGAAAACAGTGCTGGTTCTTAATGGAACAACTTGTTGCCACTCGACAGGAATCTCGACCAAACTGTCACGTGACAGGAATCTCGACCAAACTGTCACGTGACAGGAATCCCTAACAGTCACGTAACATAATTGCTATAGGATTGTCAGCGTAAGATACACGTTTTACTATACATGTAGGCCCTAGTCATGTATCACAGAATATGCAAAAAGGAAACAATTATGGAATTTTTATCAAAATCACAAAATCTTCAGAAGTCATGCAGTATTCTATTACATTGATTATCAACTTGTTATAATTGATAATCCGTCAAACCAGCTGTTTCAATCAGAGTGGGTTTATTGTGATTTGATCTCATGCAACAGAGCTGGAAACCCAGTAAGGTATCAATATACGTCATGAACTTAGATAACCATAGGTAATATACCTACTTGGGTTGGCAGTCAAAAAAATTTTATTTTTTATTTTTATATGTATCCCTCGTATGTAACAGTAGGTTCACTGTTCAAGCAGATTTTGCTTTGTTTATCAAGCAGGTGATCTCTGGGGCCGTTATATATATCATAGCTGACAGTTTAATTGTGTTAAATCATTTGAAAGAATTGGGTTTGATAAATAAATCGTGAAGAAGTAAACATTATATTAAGTTAATTTAGTTCACACGATCATCTAAATACGACGTTTAAATTGGACGAATTCATTCGGAGTTTTCTATTGACATTTTCCGAAACAGCGCGCTTCCGAATGCATCCATACTCCGCACAACACCGTCACTGTGTGGAGTACAGGTGCCGGGAAAATGGCTGAATTCAACGTAAAGTTTGTCGGGCAAAAATTAAGCAAAATTCGATGGCGACCTACGCAATCACAGTCCATTATACAATCAGATGTATTTGCCACGGGGAGCTGGGATGACGAGGTAAAGTATTTGGTGGCTAATTAACTCTTCAGGTGGTCGGGAATCAGAGGAAATTCGCCCCAAGTCAAATGTGAAAATCAGCTGGAAATACAGACTCACAGCCAAGGCCCATGAAGCAGGATAGTCATATTACTGAAACACTGGATACATGTATACAAATAGTTATATATGTGGGTCCAGTGTTTCAGTAATATCACTATCCTGCTTCAGGGCCTGTGACTCACAGTGGGTATGAGAACCATGTCACTGTAAAGTGTGTTTAGAATGTGGCTTTGTATAAAGCGTGTACAGATGTGGCACTGAATCCTGCTTATTAGATATTCAAGTCTCTGTCACGTGAAGTTGACAAGTCTCTCAAGTGATTCCTGAATAGGAGCTTTAATAAACACGATTCATGTATGTAGGCCTAATTAAGAAATATTGTCACTGTCTTGTTTATTTCTAACAATATTACATTTGAGAACATTACTTCACCTTACCATATAGCCTGCAACCTCGGAGTATTGCGGTACGCTGAACGGAACGAAATGCACTCACCAACCTTTATAATTATTCCTGTTCTCTATATCAGATGTCATTTATTTTATCTAACAATGCATATTTTACTGATAAAAGTTCATTATTTACATTAGTAGCTCCGAGTAAAAGTCGGACCTTGCGCTCAGTTTGTCAAGGAGAGAACTCCATTGTATCGCGGTACAGAGAAAGGTTGTGTATGGAGGTCCGAATTGGACAAAAAGAGGACATACTTCCACCAACCACTTAGTATGATCATGCCTGACATCAGTGATTTGTCCAGACATGTGCAAAGATAGCACAAGTAAAATTCTAAATGTGTTATCAGTATGGTAATAGGTATTCAATGCATATTTACCGAAAAGTAAGAGAAAAATATTTTAAAAATCAACAACAAAATATCAGAAATGATATTCTAAGATTGTTTTTTTTAAAAATGGATGACAATAATTTGTCACAAAATGGAAAAATGTTAACAGTCAACAATAAATAATTAAATTTTCGTTGTGTTCATTGAAATTCCTGTATTCTGATTAGCTGAATTGGTCACGTGTTATTGCATTCATTTCCCAATGAATGTAAAAAATTAAGCCACGCCCACCGAGGCGCACTACTTTTATTACTTCGGAATGTCGGGGAATCCCAATATTACAGCCGAGGGATCCCTTTCTGCTCACGTGTATCGTCATGCACAGGACATTTAGCGACTTTCATGCATATTCATTGTCCAAACAAACCTTTGAAACCGAAGGCCGAGAATGAATCAAACAGCAAACGTGCAGGCTCGCTCCCCTGTTTTTGTTTCTGCTCGCCTCGGTTCAACTTTCATGATTTCGGGTTTCCTTTCTAACTAGCATTTTTACAACTGTGTTTTACCGTAATCAGGGAAGTAATGTTTGAATCTGGCGGTAACTGACCATGTAATTTGAAACAGCCGCCTTAAAAAAATTCTCCCGGACATATTTCTTCCGGTTCGTTACAGTCTGACTGTTGCAGTTCTTTTCGCCACTTGTCTTAACTGACAGGTCCAATGAACATTGTTTTGATCCTGCTCTCCGTTGATTGGCTACTGACAGTGTTGGCGTGTCAATTTATGTGCATAAATTAAGCAATCACCTGATTCATGCACGCCACAGTATGTATTCCTACACCTGGAATGTTTATCAATGTCGTCATTTTTGTCTGTTTTGATATATACAACTGTTTTTGGTTAAACTATTGTAGATAAAACATGTTTTATGTTGTCGAATTTAATTATAAGCATTGACTGTGTATTTGTTTCGGTTCATTGAGGTATGAATCGAAAAACCAATGTGCAAACTTTTGTAAGAATCCGCTACGCGGATTCATACAGTTTGCACATCAGCTTTTCGATTCATACCTCAATGAACCGAAAAAAATACACAGTCAATCCTTAAATATATAAAAAGCACTCCTAGTATGCCCAAAGTATGTATTTATCTTTTTGCTTCTAGTGAAGGACATATTTCTAAGTTTGGCATTATGGCCCTTATGATTTCCGAATAGATTCTGGGCACAGAGCAGGAAAAAATGTGCGGACTACGTAACTTCCGCTACCTTATTAGTTGCCATGAATATGCAGATGATTTAGTTCAGGTCGATAGAGAAAGTTTACTTGGGGAACTGTGGCTTATATCGTTGGCCATTGATAGATGGGGGTAAGGCAATATTAAAAAAGATGCCAGAAGTATGTATCAACGCACTAATAACTCCTTACTTACAGCAGACGGAACATTCCGAGGAAATTGAAATTGTTTATGAAGTGACCACTTCCTGGTTACTGATTTGCATTAATAGACAGCCGCTAAGAGGCGTGTCCCGCATGAACTACCGGAAATTGCAAATGCCGCGATACGATGAATGCCTCGGTACCACAGGGTCTGAGTATATACGTTTTTGTAACTGGGACATGCTGAAGGACCCAAGGATTATTTTAAACATTGCACATTAACATAGATCTTTTAGTAAACCTATCACCAATACATGTTGTACAGGTGGATTGAACTTTGCAGTATGAGATGTCATGTGGTGTTGTCTTTGTTACAACCAGGACAACAAGATCCGTCTGTGGAGTCTGGAACAACTCAGTCGGGATGACAGGGAGGGTCCTGGCAGTGTGCTGGACAGCGAGCCACACGAGTTGTGCAGCGTCACACAGAGAGGGGACGTCACAGACCTCAGTGTAAGTTGTGCAGTGCATTGTCACATGGAGGCATCTTCCTGAGGGAAGGGGCGGTCGGGTAGCCTAGTGGTTAAAGCGTTCACTCGTCACGCCGAAGACCCGGGTTCGATTCCCGACATGGGTACAATGTGTGAAGCCCATTTCTGGTGTCCCCCGCCGTGATATAGCTGGAATATTGCTAAAAGCGGCGTAAAACCATACTCACTCACTCATTCCTGAGGGAAGGGAGATAACTGACTATACAAGTCTAGTTCAGCATGGGAAGATGCTCGGAAGGGGTGATGACACAAACCTCAGTGTAAGTTGTGTGGTGTCATGTAGATGGTTGATGTCACAGTCCTCAGTGTCATTTATGCAGACTTTGGTTTAAGTTGTGTCATGTCAGTGAGAAAAGGGACAGAACTCTTGGTAAGTTGTGCAGCATCACATATGAGGCTTAATGTTCAGACCCGTGAAGATTCCGGGGTAGTATAGGTCTTCAGCAACCCATGCGTGCCATAAAAGGTGACTATGCTTGTCGTAAAAGGCGACTAACGGGATCGGGTGGTCAGACTCACTGACTTGGTTGATGCATGTCATCGATCCCAATTGCGTGGATCGCTGCTCATGATGTCAGTCACTGGATTGTCTGATCCAGACTCGATTATTTACAGACCGCCGTCATATAGCTGGAATATCACTGGAATATCGCTGAGTGCAGCGTTAAACAACGAACCAACCAACCAACTTAATGTTCATATGCCATTAACTTTTCTCAGTTTTTCCTATTTCCCTCTTATCACACAGGATATGGTGTACATTTAAGTTTGTGACATAGAAAAGATATATATTTCAGTTGTCAATGTTATCAAGATGAAAGTTTTTCACACAGGAAATAGTGTATAATTTATTTTGTCACACATAACTATTTGTATATTTCAGTTTATAACGAATGACCACATAGCAGCAGCATCTTCAACTGGAAATGTAGCTATATATCGCCACCATATCAACTCACAGGTATATCCCTCAACCTCTCAACTAAAGTACTCACGGAAATAAAAAACCCTGTTTTTCCCAATTTAAAAATCAACACAAAGTGTTACGTCGCTGTAAATACGAAATAACAAAACAACTCGAAAAGTACTAGTCTGGATTTGCTAGTTTGATCTCAGTGAACAATACAAAATGTACTTTACAGGAGGTAATTTGTCGTCACTTTCAACATTCAAAAATAAAACTTAGTCCAAATTGACATAGCAGAAACAGACTATAGGCATTATGCACCTGTTCTCACCTGTCGTCAAGGTGTCATAGGTCATGGACATTAACCTTGATCTACTTACACCTGGTTATGCCCTGTTTCACAATAGTCTGTTTTATTCACATTTTTACACACTTTTACTTGTAAAAAGGCATAAAAACCTTTGATACGCTGTATTTGTGCCAAGGCCCAATTAGTACTAATTGCGTTGTTTGAATATTTACATATTTTGTATATTAACTGCATTTACTTAAGATCTGAGGTCGAAAAAACAGGTTTTTTTCATTTCCATGAGTACTTAAGTTATCTGCAGTAAAGGTTTATTACATTAGTGTGTCAAGGTCCATGGAAGGTTTCGAGACTCAACTCAAATCCAGTAACTCTTACGTTTGTATATTTTTGGGGAAGACTCACAAATCGCCATTATATTCAGGGGTCGATTGAACTGCTGGCCCATTGGCTCACGGCCAGTTAATATTACAAAGAGCTTGCTGAAAGGTAAAGTATATGGCCAGTCTGGCTCGTCAAAATTTCACTCCTCCTCCATGTGTGTTTAATTTTTTTAACTGGACACTGCTTGTGAATCATGTAATTTCGATGAGAAATATTTAGAGGGGATAAGGTCGTGTGAATGAGAATGTGAACTCAAAGAAAGATATATGTAGATCATCTCAGTAGAATGACAACCAGACGCCTTTTTGTAATGTTGTCTACAATAACATCTTTATTTGCTCATAAATCACCACGGATTGAGGCAAATGGAAGCCAAGATTTAATCTCAGCGTGCAGGTAAAGGCGTTTCAGGGTGAGGAGTTCTAAGTTTTGCGGACCAGAGATTCAGGCACTTCGCGGCCTCCTCCATTTAGTTGTTGGCCAGTCACTTTTAAAAGGAGCAAGCCCTGCTGGCTACACACAGATTTGTTGTTAAATCTACAACCTGATATTAATCTTTCAAACGCTCTTTGTTGCATTCAAATAAACGATTCAAGGCTCTTGCTTCACCTATCTGCATAAGAATGTCCCTGCAAAGTGAACATACTGCCTCTTCCAGACCCTGAGTGTGGCCCACAGCTGGGACGATGTCCATCACTTGGCGGCAGGGTCATGTTCCTGCACTTGTTTAACAACTAAGGGAGACGATGTAGTTGTATCTGGTGGAGAGGATGGAAGGATTGTCGTTCTGAATGTCAACCGGAGGCAACCAGAGAGAGTCATTGGTGAGTTGATGTTATAGTGACCGATGCAAGTCATTGGTGAGTTGATGTTATAGTGACCGATGCAAGTCATTGGTGAGTTGATGTTATAGTGACCGATGCAAGTCATTGGTGAGTTGATGTTATAGTGACCGATGCAAGTCATTGGTGAGTTGAAGTTATAGTGGCCGATGCAAGTCATTGGTGAATTGATGTTATAGTGACCGATGCAAGTCATTGGTGAGTTGATGTTATAGTGACCGATGCAAGTCATTGGTGAGTTGATGTTATAGTGACCGATGCAAGTCATTGGTGAGTTGATGTGATAGGTGCCGATGCAAGTCATTGGTGAGTTGATGTTATAGTAGCCGATGCAAGTCATTGGTGAGTTGATGTTGTAGTGGCCGATGCAAGTCATTGGTGAGTTGATGTTGTAGTGGCCGATGCAAGTCATTGGTGAGTTGATGTTATAGTGGCCGATGCAAGTCATTGGTGAGTTGATGTTATAGTGACCGATGCAAGTCATTGGTGAGTTGATGTTATAGTGACCGATGCAAGTCATTGGTGAGTTGAAGTTATAGTGGCCGATGCAAGTCATTGGTGAGTTGATGTTATAGTGACCGATGCAAGTCATTGGTGAGTTGATGTTATAGTGACCGATGCAAGTCATTGGTGAGTTGATGTTATAGTGGCCGATGCAAGTCATTGGTGAGTTGATGTTATAGTGGCCGATGCAAGTCATTGGTGAGTTGAAGTTATAGTGGCGGATGCTAGTCATTGGTGAGTTGATGTTATAGTGGCCGATGCAAGTCATTGATGCAAGTCATTGGTGAGTTGATGTTGTCATGGTTATAGGGTTGAAGTGTGTCATTGGTGAGTTGATGTTGTCATGGTTATAGGGTTGAAGTGAGTCATTGGTGAGTTGATGTTGTCATGGTTATAGGGTTGAAGTGAGACATTGGTGAGTTGATGTTGTCATGGTTATAGGGTTGAAATGAGACATTGGTGAGTTGATGTTTTCATGGTTATAGGGTTGAAGTGAGACATTGGTGAGTTGATGTTGTCATGGTTATAGGGTTGAAGTGAGACATTGGTGAGTTGATGTTGTCATGGTTGAAGTGAGACATTGGTGAGTTGATGTTGTCATGGTTGTAGGGTTGAAGTGTGTCATTGGTGAGTTGATGTTGTCATGGTTATAGGGTTGAAGTGAGACTTTGGTGAGTTGATGTTGTCATGGTTATAGGGTTGAAGTGAGACATTGGTGAGTTGATGTTGTCATGGTTGAAGTGAGACATTGGTGAGTTGATGTTGTCATGGTTATAGGGTTGAAGTGAGACATTGGTGAGTTGATATTGTCATGGTTATAGGGTTGAAGTGAGACATTGGTGAGTTGATGTTGTCACTGTTGTAGGGTTGAAGTGAGACATTGGTGAGTTGATGTTGCAGTATTGAAGCGTGAAGTATGTGAACATCTTTAGAGTCGATTGCAAGGTCGTTGTTGTCTGAGTAAATTTGGTTGGTTTGCTTGTAATTCTTTTTTTTGTTTACTTTGTTTTATCTATGTTTCAGAATCTGCTGACAGTTGTACTATAAATGCCATCACGTTTCTGAAACAGACAGAGGTTATCACCGTCAATTCCTTTGGACAGTTGAAGATATTTGACTTTCGACAGAACACTGCAGTTCCAACAAGAACCTACACAGTGTAAGTGTTAGACCTGAATTAATATTTCAAGTCATCATGGTCAAATTGTTCAATTTCATCTGAGGTTTAATGAACCTTTCTCAAGTTAGTCACTGAAAATAATTTCTGAGCAGTTTATTTGAAATATGATTCAAGAAATTGATCTATTCATAAAAGTTCACTTTTGTTGCCCTTCACTTGACATTGAGAATATTTTGAAGGGTGGGACTGTGCCAATCCTTATCTATTTATGACAAATTGCCATGTTCTCTGGCTCCTTCAGTGACTGCCATGCTTGGCCCTTCACGCCCACTCAGTAGTAAATACATGCATTTATATTTCAGGACAGAAGAACACAGCTCACTGCAGTGTGTGGCTAAGCACCCTGGTCAGGCCCACATTGTGGCCACAGGGGGCCAGGACGGGATGCTGACAATCTGGGACCTCCGTCAGGACAAGTTTCCCATGACATTGCTAGAGGCCCACAGTGCCACCAGTAAGTTGTCATGACATTGCTAGAGGCCCACAGTGCCACCAGTAAGTTGTCATGACATTGCTAGAGGCCCACAGTGCCACCAGTAAGTTGTCATGACATTGCTAGAGGCCCACAGTGCCACCAGTAAGTTGTCATGACATTGCTAGCGGCCCCCAGTGCCACCAGTAAGTTGTCATGACATTGCTAGAGGCCTACATTGCCACCAGTAAGTTGTCATGACATTGCTAGAGGCCCACAGTGCCACCAGTAAGTTGTCATGACGTTGCTAGAGGCCCCCAGTGCCACCAGTAAGTTGTCATGACATTGCTAGAGGCCCACAGTGCCACCAGTAAGTTGTCATGACATTGCTAGAGGCCCACAGTGCCACCAGTAAGTTGTCATGACATTGCTAGAGGCCCACAGTGCCACCAGTAAGTTGTCATGACATTGCTAGAGGCCCACAGTGCCACCAGTAAGTTGTCATGACATTGCTAGAGGCCTACATTGCCACCAGTAAGTTGTCATGACATTGCTAGAGGCCCACAGTGCCACCAGTAAGTTGTCATGACGTTGCTAGAGGCCCCCAGTGCCACCAGTAAGTTGTCATGACATTGCTAGAGGCCCACAGTGCCACCAGTAAGTTGTCATGACATTGCTAGAGGCCCACAGTGCCACCAGTAAGTTGTCATGACATTGCTAGCGGCCCACAGTGCCACCAGTAAGTTGTCATGACATTGCTAGAGGCCCCCAGTGCCACCAGTAAGTTGTCATGACATTGCTAGATGCCCACAGTGCCACCAGTAAGTTGTCATGATATTGCTAGAGGCCCACAGTGCCACCAGTAAGTTGTCATGACATTGCTAGAGGCCCCCAGTGCCACCAGTAAGTTGTCATGACATTGCTTGAGGCCCACAGTGCCACCAGTAAGTTGTCATGACATTGCTAGAGGCCTACATTGCCACCAGTAAGTTGTCATGACATTGCTAGCGGCCCACAGTGCCACCAGTAAGTTGTCATGACATTGCTAGAGGCCCACAGTGCCACCAGTAAGTTGTCATGACATTGCTAGAGGCCCACAGTGCCACCAGTAAGTTGTCATGACATTGCTAGAGGCCCACAGTGCCACCAGTAAGTTGTCATGACATTGCTAGAGGCCCCCAGTGCCACCAGTAAGTTGTCATGACATTGCTAGAGGCCCACAGTGCCACCAGTAAGTTGTCATGACATTGCTAGAGGCCCACAGTGCCACCAGTAAGTTGTCATGACATTGCTAGAGGCCCACAGTGCCACCAGTAAGTTGTCATGTCATTGCTAGAGGCCCACAGTGCCACCAGTAAGTTGTCATGACATTGCTAGAGGCCCACAGTGCCACCAGTAAGTTGTCATGACATTGCTAGAGGCTAACCATGTCGTCTAGGGCTGGGACGGGTAACTCGGGTACCCAGGTCAGGTGGGTACTGAGTAGGACCCGGGTACCCACAGGACTACCCGGACTCATGGTTAGTCATGTGATATATTGTCTAATGACTAAAATTATCTAGAACTCTATTGTTGCACTACAAGTCACTAATGTTCGCTTTTCCTTCTGACTCTGCACCCTTTCCTTCTGATTTTTCATATGGTTGAATAAAGATAGAACGGAAGTCAACTTCAGTGTATATATCAGATTGTTTATTACATGTATCTAAATACGTTTTGCCAGGGTTATGCTAAAAATGTTCCCAATCTGACATTTTGAGACATGTCCTGAGACCTAGAGTTGGTACCGAGGTAGGGTAGGGTAATAGGGGGTAGGTACCCGGGTAGTAAATTTGGACTCATCCCAGCCCTAGTGTCGTCAGTAAGTTGTCATGACATTGCTTGAACTAACAGTGCCACCAGTAAGTTGTCATGACATTACAAGGTGTTCACAGTTGTAGTACTTGTTTCTTGATGTTGTTAACAGTATCCTAACCATGTTACAAATCTTCATGCTCTGTGGGAGTTCCAGGTCGGATTTGGCTCATTGTACATCATTATTTGTGGGATGGCATGGATCTTGTTATCAGTCACTGGTTTTCCTGGTCCGAACTCAGTTATTTACAGGCCATCATGATATTTCTTGAATAATGCTGACTCAGCGAAATGTTTGTGATGTGTCATTGCAGTGTGGGAGGTGAAGTTCCATCCCCACAACCCAGACCATCTGTTCACCTGCTCAGATGATGGCTCAGTCTGGCACTGGGATGGGACGTCTGTCAGGGGCAGCGCATCTACTTCATCGTTTGTGTCAGGTAGGTTGTAGTCAGGGGCACCACATCTACATCAGTGGGGGGAACCCGTGAAGATTCCGGGGTAGAATAGGTCTTCAGCAACCAATGCATGCCGTAAAAGGCGACTATGCTTGTCGTAAAAGGCGACTAACGGGATCGGGTAGTCAGGCTCGCTGACTTGGTTTATACATGTCATCGGTCCCAATTGCGTGGATCGATGCTCATGATATCAATCACTGGATTGTCTGGTCCAGACTCGATTATTTACAAACCGCCATCATATAGCTGGAATATTGCTGTGTGCGGCGTTAAACAACAAACCAACCAACCAACATCAGTTGGGGGAACCAGATCTACATCAGTGGGGGGAACCACATCTACATCAGTTGGGGGAACCAGATCTACATCAGTGGGGGGAACCACATCTACATCAGTGGGGGGAACCACATCTACATCAGTGGGGGGAACCACATCTACATCATCTACTGTGTATAACACATTGGTATTGTAAGAAGCAGTACATCCACATTGTTTCTTTTGCAACAAAATCATATGTGAAAAAGTATGTCAAGTTTTGGTCCTGCATGCATGTGTTTGTTCTTTCCCAGGGTTACGAGGAGACAGTGCCAGCAGCACGGGACACATCAGCTCGTGGCTGAACCTGGACTCCGCCCGGCAGAAGCTGGAGATCACCTCCCTCCTCCCCACGAGGTCACTTCCTGTCAACTCCCTCGATATAGACCGCGATACCCTCCTGTGTGGTACAGACAGTGAGACCCTCTACACTATCTCCTTGCCAGGCCTGGTGTAGAGCTTCTCACTAACCAAGTCCTAAATGCCATATCACTACCCGAGTCCCTAACCCATCTCACTACCCCATCTCACTACCCAGTCCCTACCCCCATCTCACTACCCCCATCTCACTACCCGGTCCCTACCAACCATCTCACTACCCAGGTCCCTACCCCCCATCACACTACCCCATCTCACTACCCAGGTCCCTACCCCCCATCACACTACCCCATCTCACTACCCAGGTCCCTAACCCCATCTCACTACCCCCATCCCACTACCCAGGTCCCTAACCCCATCTCACTACCCCCATCTCACTACCCGGTCCTTACCCACTTCTCACTACCCCCATCTCACTACGCAGGTCCCTAACCCCATCTCACTACCCCCATCTCACTACCCGGTCCCTACCCCCATCTCACTACCCAGGTCCCTAACCCCATCTCACTACCCCCATCTCACTACCCAGTCCCTACCCCCATCTCACTACCCCCATCTCACTACCCGGTCCCTACCAACCATCTCACTACCCAGGTCCCTACCCCCCATCACACTACCCCATCTCACTACCCAGGTCCCTACCCCCCATCACACTACGCCATCTCACTACCCAGGTCCCTAACCCCATCTCACTATCCCCATCCCACTACCCAGGTCCCTAACCCCATCTCACTACCCCCATCTCACTACCCGGTCCTTACCCACTTCTCACTACCCCCATCTCACTACGCAGGTCCCTAACCCCATCTCACTACCCCCATCTCACTACCCGGTCCCTACCCCAATCTCACTACCCAGTCTTACCCCCATCTCACTACTCAAATCTCACTACCCAAATCTCACTACCAAGTCCTACCCCAATCTCACTACCCAGGCCCTACCCCCATCTCACTACCCAGGTCCCTACCCCCATCTCACTACCCAGTCCCTACCCCAATCTCACTACCCAGTCCTACCCCCATCTCACTGTCCAGGCACTACCCCCATCTCACTACCTAGTCCCTACCCCCATCTTACTACCCCCATCTCACTACCAAGGCCCTACCCCCATCTCACTACCCAGTCCCTACCCCCATCTCACTACCCAGGCCCTACCCCCATCTCACTACCAGTGTCCCTAACCCATCTCACTACCCAGTCCCTACCCCATCTCACTACCCAGTCCCTACCCCCATCTCACTACCCAGGCCCTACCCCATCTCACTACCCAGTCCCTACCCCATCTCACTACCCAGTCCCTACCCCCATCTCACTACCCAGTCCCTACCCCCATCTCACTACCCAGTCCCTACCCCCATCTCACTACCAGTGTCCCTAACCCATCTCACTACCCAGTCCCTACCCCATCTCACTACCCAGTCCCTACCCCAATCTCACTACCCAGGCCCTACCCCATCTCACTACCCAGGCCCTACCCCATCTCACTACCAGTGTCCCTAACCCAATCTCACTGCCCAGGCCCTACCCCCATCTCACTACCTAGTCCCTACCCCCATCTCACTACCCGTATCTCACTACCCAGACCCTACCCCAATCACACAACCCCAGCCCCACCTCCGTCTCACTACCCAGGCCCTACCCAATCTCACTACCCAGACCCTACCCCCATCGCACTACCCAATCCCTACCACATCCCATTGCCCAAGTCCCTACCCTATCACACAACCCTAGCACAACCTCCGTCTCACTACCCAAATCCCTGCCCCTATTTCCACACCCTCATCTCACTACCCCTATTTCATTACCCCCATCTCACCGCCCCAGTACACCATCGTCATGTATAGGATAACCATTGTCATGTATAGGATATTATTTTGAACTAATGTTGTGTATGTTCATTGTATATGATCAACTGCTAAAATAAATGTTTTCTACTATCAACCAATGTCACATTATTTTTTAGTGAAAAAGATCTCTTGTTGTGGGTCTTTATATATATATCCTTGATGACAACACTTGAAGTAGCCTGGTATAAAAATATATAAATGGTTTCATGTGGGAGGAGAGCCTGCAACATGGCAATGCAAACCTGATAAATCAAGGGGGGATACTGCTGAGTGTCTATGCAGCTTATCAATTACAGCAACAACAAACTCAGTTTGGAATCCCATGTTTAATATATGTCAACATCAGTGGTTCCTTGTTTAGAGAATGTGTGGTTTTTGCGTGCAACATGCTATCAGCTTGTCCGCTGAATAAAAAAAAAAGCAAATTATGGATTTTTATTTTTCCATTGCAACAAAATTTATAGTCGGTGGATCCGTAAAGCAAGTAAAAAATAAATATTAAAGCAACTATTAGTGTTGAAGCTATCCTGTTCTAACCAAGAAATTAAACTCACACCTCCTATCATCTGATACCACGTGATGATAAACGTGCTTGACATTATTATTGGAAACATTTGGGGAACAACGGTAAATGATACAGGAGCAGACAAACAATGACCAATATTGTCACACATTTAATTCTTCGCGTGTTACTCGAGACACGGACCCATTTTTTCAACGTCATTAACAGTAGCTGATCAGAATCACCACTTGGAAAAATGTGTCGATTTCTGAGAATGGAAAATCGTGCCATGGCGTTTAGGTGACTGAATGTCAGGTGGCTGCCTACGCGCGCTTTAACTTCAAAGTGGTATTTAGGGGACCAGTATTAAACGTGGTCGTCCTCGGGTGTTGTATACCATCTACTCCTGCGTAATAGGTTCCCCGATGTCAGGTCATTTAACGGATGAGCACTTTATGGTACAAACAATAGCGAGACCACAATAAGAAGTATGACCTTCATTAAAAGATCCGGAAGGGTCCGGATAAGAAAAGATCTCCAGCAACTTATGCAGGACGTGAGTGGCGACTATATGGATCGGGTGGTCCGGATATAGCGTGTTAATTGTTGCTCATAATCAACTGGATTGTCTCCATTTTGTACAGGTCGCACCAATACAGGTTGAATATTATTGAGTGCGGCGTTAAACAACAAATGAACTCGTCAACCACTGACATCACATCGTAGGCAAGGTTATTTGCTATGGTGCCAAGGTCATCAAATGAGCAGATGCAATCCCCTCTTCCATGATGGTCGTAGTCGTGTTTACAGACGGCGCTGTGAACGTTTTGAGGATGCTGATGCAGTGGCGCATAATCGATTTCGTGGTGTTTCCATAATGGTCTGGGAGGCATTACATTTACAGCCGCTGAAAGGACACGGTTGCACGCTGTTGTTTGGAATCTTGACACAAAACGCTTCGAAGATGAGACATTAACCCAAATTGTGGTCCAAGTGCTCCAATAGTTGCACTGTGCGTGTTTACTGTCGAAATGGAGCAGACGGACGCCAATATTTGAGCTATGTCAGAGCACTGTTGCTCACTGAATGCCAGCATGGTTTGTGAAACTAGAACTTTCATCTGGAGATTATGATGGCCCCTTTCCCACGTGAAGAAGAATTAGATTTTTTGCTTTGTGTCTTGCAAGAGTCTGTTTCTTAGAACAATACAATCTCAAACTATGTCTTTCATAAAAACTGCTGAAAACTATGAACGGATTAGGGGATAAAGTAGTGCAGGCATACACTGTAGGCACACACTGTCGCCATAACGTGAGGCGTGGTCACTCAACACCTATGCCTAACGAATATTGAGTCCACATAAGAAAATGTTTGGATTATCCGATATAATTACGGTTGTCATTTGATAAGTACTGTAACTTATTTTTGTGGAAAACATCGCCAAATGTGTTATGCTTTTTCAAACATCAACATGATGATATGATTAAAATATGGGTAACCCGCACCCCAGCACACAACCCTCTAGCTCCCGCGTGAGTCTGATAGCAAATATCAGACACACCCTTCTTCCTCCGTGAAAGATGTGTGTCTTGTCAATATAATAAACCGTATTTAATCAGAGGTAAATAACTTCACACATTACACAACTTTAATTCTAACTTTCATTAACATCCTAAGTGACTCTAACTGATGTCAATGGGTAAATCTCACTGGCGGATAGTGTGGTATTACCCATTCAAATGTTAGATCGTGGCATTATTTCCGTTCGTAGATTGCAATAGATTCCACCCCACTTTGTCAAGTTATGTGCAATACTTCAATAGTCAGTTCTGACATTAAAGGCTAATGCATCTGCGTTTCCATTAAACCTTGAGTCGCAGGCCTGCAAACATAATTCGTGGATGAAATATGTTGAATAATTTACAAATGTTAAAAGATCTATTTTTTACATATTTCAAATTATTCGTAAAATACCAATGGTGTACTTCCAACAATGACACGTTATATGTAATTAAAGATGTTTGATGAATGTTCTCGATGTTTGATTGGTATGATAGTTAGAATGTGAGAAAGTAAAGACGATTGAAACAACAAACTGCATATGTTACAAAAAGTAAAACAGAATGTGTCATTGTTTTTATTTCGTATTTCAGTGGCCCGTTTGGGCTCTGATTCGGCACCAATATGAGATAATATATCGTTGTACAGCGTATTAGAATGTATATTAAATTATGTATATTCTAAATTCGGTTGCGCAACAAATGTATGTATGTCGATGTTGGCCAATGGGTGGAGTTGGATAAAAAAATATCTTTGTGAAATGTGACGGACAAAAACCTTCATGGGAAATGAAAATCAAAGTTGCCATTTGCAGTAGTTTAAACCAGTAATTGATGTATCGTGTACAATAATCAATACGGCAAACTAATCTGGTGAACAAGGAATCAATGTGAAGCTTTCTTATTTATCAAGATGCATATCAGATAAAGATAATTCGAATAAATTAAATTTCAGAGCTTTCGTGCTATTATATCATATATGAATAGTCGTAAGCAAATATCTTCTTCACTGAACGTATTAATTTAAGGAACGATTACATTTCTTCAGCAACTTCTGAGAGCATTGAGTTCGAAAATATAAGTTTCGAGAGCTCTGTGGTGCCAAATTGCTTCTGTAACACTCGGTTCAACTCAGTTCAAGTGGGTCATACATAGGAAGCGGAATCAGCCGAGCAAGCCCGATGTTTTTTTCAGTTGACCGGACTACCGTCTAGACAATGTGCTTAGCGCATAGTTATCCGCGCATACTAACAGGGGTACCAGTTAACCTACTTCAGGCGCCCGAAATGTTACTGGTTGTTAGGAATGTACGATACAACAAGCCACAAGCTCCTCGCATCGACACATCGCTCTTTATGCCTTCAAAGTAAGAACATAGCGAAGTCGTTAAGCGTTGTGGGAGAGTTTGGCTAAATAGTTTAATAGTTAGTTGCAACTGAGAGAGCATTTTAATGTTTATGTGCCCTCTTCTTCAATATAATTGAATATCCACCTACACCGTGAATATATAACAACGAGAAGACAGAGTATGTATGGCTTGATTGGCTTATATGTCATTTTTAATGAGAGGAAGGGTATGAACCTACTTGATCAGTTGATTTTTTCGGTGTCAAAAAAACTCAAACTTCAGACAGTCAATTATGGCGACAGTCTGGCAAACATTCAAAATCATTTAGTACAGTAATCAGGCGTCCCAGCTTCCCACCTTCGCTACACCATCATTGTTTCTAGAATCTATGACTAGTAGCAATATTGTATTTACCGTGATCGACATGTATCGATTATTTATCTATTTTTTTTAAGAAACGGATATCACACCAAATTTTTGAAATGTGGCAACCATGGCGACTAGATTTTTTTACAGTGTGATGTTCAGTTGTGATCATGGTGATAGGCCATAGACTGATATTGTTTGCAATGAGATTGTTCATTCAATGATTGCCCATCAACGATTAACTGCCACTATCTAACAGTTTTTTGTGTGATTGTGAATAATTCATCGAAATAAGAACAAGTATGTATAGAATGAAGTAAATATTAATCTTCCTTTGCTAATGAAGCAAACAACGGGTCTTGGGGTTTCGCCTACATAGCTCCTCTCAATATTTCAGATGAGTGCCAGTTTGTCTGACATCAGTGAGAACACCAAGATGGGGCGTGAGAGTGCGTTGCTAGGCAACTATGAAACCTCCCTGGTGTACTATCAGGGTGTGATCCAGCAGATACAGCGCCTGGTACAGACTATTAAGGATTCAGTGCGGAAAGAGAAATGGCAACAGGTATTGCAACAGCAAAGAGTAAACAGATAAAATATGTTTTCTGTCTGAACATATATATATGGGATTTAGTTATTTCTATGTCAATGTTTATTTGAAATATTCAAAACCAAATTTATGAATTTATGAGTAATCAAGCTTAAAATTTGTTTAACTTGTTTAGACTTGTGACCATTATTATGATTAAGTATATCGAGCTACCGCTTAAACTAAGCTGTGATTTTGAATGTATATCTAATAGCAAAGTTCCTATGAGGAGAATATGAAGCATTTTGATTCATGAGTAAGAGCAATTCTGCACAATGCAGGGATTACCAGAAACAAAATCCTGCATTCTTTAAGCGTAAAAACATATGCAATAACAATACAGACTGCATCCATGAGGACACAGAAAAATTTGTTAATTCAAAAGTACAATACAAACTTGATTGCTTCACAAATTTGTAGTTAGTGCTATCAATTATAGTTCCATTTCAGTTGCGGAATTCCGTACAGTCATGCCCCGCTTATACAGACTTCAGATATCCGGAAACCTCGGTTCCCGGACGATTTTCATTCAAAACAAAATAATTACTATATAAATTTACATGTATATACGGAAATTCAGTTTCTGGAACTGGATGGTCATTTTCATACACAAACCACTGAAATGCACACAAAATTGTCTCACTTATCCGGACAATACACTTCCGCTGGTGGTAATCCTTTGATTCGTGAGAAGTCAATTAACCAAGTGACACTGAGTTATGTTTGAGACGAGCTTGTTTATTGTACATGTAATCCCATTCGATAAACATGGCGTCTGTGGAGGCTTGTGCTTGTATAGAGACCTTGATTACATATTACGAGAACACAGGCGATCTGGACAATTTGGAATTATTGTATAAATTCAAACCTCAATATGTGGTAAAGTTCAAACTTCCCTGACAGATTTTTTTAAACGTGTATGTCTTGAAGAAGCTGGTTTCAGTTATACGGAAATTCGTTTATACGGACAATTGTGAAACGACGCAAGTGTCTGTATAAACGAGGCACGACTGTATCTATTTGTAACTGCAATGTAACAGGTATCCATCTGTCTCAAGTTTGTGCTTCAAACTTTAAAGGATGGCAAAACAACAAGATTTACAAAAGGTTTTCAACAGGGGAAGTTTGAGTGCATCTTCAAGTGAAATTTCAGCAAACAAACATGAGTAAAAGTAATAAAGGATATTACATAGTCAATATATGAATAAGATAAAAACACGGAAGGAAGGAAGCTGTATTATTGGAAATAACATTGTTGTCCTAATTGTTTTACATTTCTCTGGGACCCCAATTTTACAGCTTCGGACCCCCAAAATTAGGGTCTATGAGTCTCCTCAGCCCCCAATATAAATAACCCAGGTAAATCCTGACTGAGTTAATGATAAGAGAAGTGGAGTAGTGATGTTACTTCCGAAACAAAGCTATGGGGACAAATGGTCAATGGTAATTATCACAATAGAATGAAACACTGGAATAGTCAAGGATGTCACCATGGTAACAAAAGTATTGTCGGTTAAATTACTATTGGGGACATATTAAATTAATATGTTCCCAATAGTTGCTCCAGTTGTGACCTAGGTGATCTGTACGTGTTCATTGATGCTTTCGTGATAAGCTTCTGGTTTGGCTGCTGAAGACTTGGTTGTATTCTGTATGTGATCTTGTTATGTTGTGGCTATCAGCCTGGTGTAACATGTTGTAACTGTCCATGCTGTGATGGTACTGAGCATGACCACTCACTCACTCACTCACTATCCCCCCCAACAGGTTCGTCAGGAGATCGCCCAGGAGTACGAACAAGTCAAAGACATCAGTAGTACATTGTCAAGTTTTAAGACTGAAAATTCCAACTTTAATGCAAATTATGGAGAATTTTCTCCCCATGATTATCCGAGACATGAAGAACCAACAAGAGATCCTGATGTGTGGCCGCCACCAACTCCAGTTGAACACAGGTTAGCATCAATTAGCTTTTGTTTATTTAAGGCAAAAACACCCCTTAAAACTTGTGTTTCCAGTAACCCGACCGACCCATCAGTTCACTTTCAACCCTGAAATTATCACTTCTGTCACATTCCATCACATTAATAGTCGACCCGTAGAATAGGTCTTCAGCAACCCATGCTTGCCATAAGAGGCGACTAACAGGATTTGGTGGTCAGGCTCTCTGACTTGGTTAATGCATACAGACCACCATCATCTAGCATCTAACAAACAAACATGAATAGTCAATACAGTCATCAGTAGAATGCTAAGTCAAGAAAATTAAGAAATTGTTACTGACCAATCTGTGTCATGGTTTTGTTTCCTGAATCAAATATTTTGAATGTTGATGCTTATTTTGGGACTTACCACTGACACTTCTCTTGCACAGTTCTGCATGTTTAACAAACATTAAATTGTTTGTCATTAAGCATAATAAGTATTGCAGATTTATGTTTTCTGAACCTAAACAGTGTATTACGTACAGTAAAGATAAGCAGTAAAGAATATTGATTCCATGGATGTTCTCATTGTGCAGACCAACGCCTCAAATAAGAGGTCGTGAAAAGGCTGCGCCGAGGAGAGCTGAGCCAAGTCGAGGTCGAGCTGCCCCATCCAGACCGAGTTCAGACCGGCGGAAAGGCCCTTCGTATGGAGGTGTTGACAAGGGGAAGGAGCCGGTTAGAGACAAGGGAAGAGAGAAGAAAAACAAGGTAGGCATAAAGTTCTGGGTTAACAAAACTAGGGGGAGAAAGGTCTGTCATATTTGGAGATGCTTGTGTTTTTGAATTAATGATTTCTACTGATTGATGTGGATGAAAATCCAAGCCCCTGATTTGTTAATGCAAGTAATCTTAGCACCTTAGTATGTTGAGATCAACTGAGTGATACTGCAGTCTTCCTAGCTTGATCAGCTAATACCATGGATACCCATAGAGCAGCATCTGTCTCCCACAAGAAAGATGGACCAAAGTTTACCCATGACCATAATCAAAGACAGATCAATCTGTTGAAAAGCCAGTCATTTAGTGAATGATGAGGTAGGGCTGACCTCACACTGCAAGTGAAAACTGTTGTTGGGCTTCTTTTCTGAAGATAAACTCAAATAAAAAATTACTTTAATTAATTTAATTTCTATCTCAACAATTCATTGTCAGCTGTCATTAGTGGTAATTGAGGCTGTACAGAAACTTTCTCAGCAAATGCTCAGTGACCAACTCAAGCGAGGTTTTATGTTTATTTATTTATTTTTCAGCATGATGAAGAATCTGAAAAGAAATTTGACTCAAGTGGATATGATAAGGATTTGGTGGAGCATCTTGAGAGAGATATTCTACAGAAAAATCCAAATGTCCATTGGTAATACATTTATTGTTGTTTGTAAAAATGGTTCACGGTTTTATGGATTCTGCAGTGTTTAATTGACCCGAAAAGAATTACAGGAATTTGGATATTTGTGATGTTACTATACTTTTTCAGACACAACATATTGCAATTTCCCTCTTCACTTTCAACATATAACAAAGAACCCAAATGTACCTCTTACACATCAAAGGCACCTGCCATTGGTTACCAGTCAGAATTATCAGAATGACCTTTCATCTGACCAATCAAAGCGTTGCACACCAGTCCGGGAAAGTGACAGTCGGAATGTGTTTTCTAACCATGTAACCTTGCAAAGGTTAACACAGGGTATTCCGAATGACAGTTATCAGGTGTATGACTCATAATCGTCTGTCTCTTGCTTAAAAGGGATAAACATTTGGTTCAGAAGAGACTTTCGTAGCCAGTAGGAAGTACTGCCTTCTTCGGTCGTCTATTAGACATTCAGCAATTTTCTTTTGTTTAATTTTCAAATTTGTAATAAATATTTTTAAAATTGTAGTCTAAAATATAAGTCACCCAATTTTGAAACTAGTGCCGTAAAGCTTGAGAAAGCTGCTTTCTGATTGGCTGATGTTGACTTCTTGCTAGTCCTTTCATTGCTAGGTCAAGTCCGTGAAAGGTTCTAACGTGTCCTCAGATGTTTGTTTATATGAGAATGAGACCACCTCTATGGTCTAGTGGTAGAGTGTCCTCTCGGAGAGCGGAAGGTACAGGGTTCGATCCCCGGACACGTCATACCAAAAAACATTAAATGATGGTACTTGTTGTTACCCTGCCTGGCGCTCAGCATTTGGTGGCTAAAACAAGGACTGGTCGGCTCGGAATCAGTATACTGTGTCTGAGTTGGGTATTCATGTTAAACTAAAATAAATGCGGTTCAAAGTCACACACACACACACACATGTCGCTATTTAAGTTCAATAATCTTGGTCGCGACGTTAAACCTCATTTCACCTCACCTTGATGAGATTGAGTTACTGGTTTGCCTGGTTTGCCTGGTTCACACTCAGTGACAGTCCGTCATCATTCAACTGAATATTTGCTGATTGCGTTCAACAAACAAATAATAAGCTCTCAGTTTGCAGTTATTACCAGTGATTTAGTGGTTGGCGTTAATACACAAGATCTCTAACTTCTTCTGTTTACAGGGGCGACATCGCAGACTTGGTTGAGGCGAAGAAGTTACTTGAAGAAGCAGTTGTTTTGCCTCTGATTGTGCCTGATTTCTTCAAGGGGATTCGGAGGCCATGGAAGGTATTAGTTAGAGATACACTCTGCATGTGGTGACAGTGTGGCACTTTAGTAGGTGGGACTGGGTGCTTTATATGCTTATGCATGAAACACTGTAGCACTTTGTTGTGGGACAATGGTTGTCATGGTATGCCAACCTCATGTTAAAGTTAGTGGTGTAATGATCCCATGTAGTCTGTCATAAAGACCCTGAAAGTCTATAATGTTTGGCAAGTCTAGATTACTGCAGTATCAGTATCTGAAAATGAAGAAAGCCTCTGGGCTCCTTTTTGTTATTTTTTATAACTATAATTTAACAACTATTTTTTCTGTAAAATATGTTCATTTCAGAGACTAGATGTTACCATATTTTCTTGAGTATAGTGCACACGTTTTTTCCCAAAAACACAGCTGTGCATTATACACGCAATAATGAGTTGTGATGGTTTTTCCCCAAAGGGAAAGACATCACCCTGATAGCGTAGCACTGGAAATACCATGTCATCAAATCCATACTGAAGTACGCAAATTAATCATGTAATTACAGAGTCTATAAAAAGTGTTCTTTGTATATCTGGACTTATGTTTGTAACTTATTTCATAAATTTTATTAAAAATTCCTTTTGATATTGTTTTAATTAATTTTGGCGAAATCATGTGTGAAGCTATCGAAAGATCGCACAACTCACCGTTATTAACAGCAACCATGGTCAGATTACCACTATTGACGCCTTGAAATGAACTTTAATTGACAGAGAATGGATACATATATCATAAATGCCATGCTTTGACTTGTTAAAAGTCATATTTGTTATAGTTTGACGATTCTATGTCAACTCGTAGTTCTCGCGATAACGTGCGCGGGAGCCTCGACGGTGACTAGTTAAACTGGTTCCATGTGAAAAATAATAACCAGCAATAGAGATCAGCTGCTTCGCTGAGGGTTATAATAATTTTAAATATATTTAGTAAAAGCTGCAACTAAAATAACAAGATATTGGAATATATTATTCCTGATAAAAAAAAATAGTTTCAGATACAATTTTTGCCAATCCTTGCATTAAATTCCTGTAAAGTTATATCATTGGGTGTTTCTTGACCGAATCACGGGTAGATTCCAAGAAAACGTGTGTACAGCAGATTGCTGTTTCAGGCTTAGTTTACAAGAAAATACACACGGTAATCTTAATCCCTGGATGTAAAACAATGCCGAGCAGAACAAAAAATACAATTTAAACGGTAAATCAACATGCCTGGTGATTTTATTTTTTAGCTCTAATTTCAAATTTGTACTGACCAAGTTTCTCATCACCCGTTAGTTTACCGGAATTCACTGAAGGGGTATGGTGTAATTTTTCTGTCTGTTCGCTGTGTGTGAGTGGTGTATCCATGAAACTTTGGCATGGTGTCTCAGTAGGCTAGCACTATCAAACCGCCATTAGTCTGGACTAGTGCAAGCAGCCACACCACGTGCATTTATGTCTCAATATAAGTGCATTAATCTTGAACACTAGGTTAAACCCATTTCACCTTGCCACTAAGGTATCGTGATACTTAAGTTTTTCTAAGGTGGAGGGAGCATGCCAGAAACCTTGAATCCCTGTTTGCCCCAGTTGTAAGCACCATACATGTGCTTGTCGGTTTCACCAAAGTGGTAAACGTCTTTGGTACCTTGTAGAAATGCATTGTGGTGAAATCAATTTTGTTGCAATTTGTTCCAAGTAAAATTTTATTTTGCCTTAACCTTATGTAACATTGTATTGAGTGTAGTGAAGTAGGCCCTCAGTGTTTTGTGTGGTGGTGTTTCCCTTGGTGTTGTGGTCATGTGACCAGCCTCTCATCCAATGGAAAAGCTGTATTTTGTGTAACTCTCACATTAACAGTACGATAATGCTATTAACCCTGGTCTGCCTGTAACATATCCTACTGCAGCATTAGACAATATTTTCTCACTATTTCAACTAAATTATTGCCCATCAACTCTTATCTGCAGGGTGTATTAATGGTGGGCCCGCCAGGCACAGGGAAGACGATGTTAGCAAAGGCAGTCGCGACTGAGTGTGGCACTACTTTCTTTAATGTATCCACCTCCAGCCTCACGTCAAAGTACCGAGGTGAATCAGAGAAGCTAGTCAGGCTGCTGTTTGAGATGGTAAGGAGACAATTGTAACTCATTGTGCATGCCTTCTTTTTTTCTCCTTGCTGCCAGGGCGTTCTGATGGTTGGCCCGCCTGGTACTGGGAAAACAATGCTAGCTAAAGCAGTGGCCAGTGAATGTGGGACTACATTCTTTAATGTTTCATCATCAAGTCTTACCTCCAAGTATCATGGAGAGTCTGAAAAGTTAGTGCGACTACTTTTCGAAATGGTAGGTATTATGATTGTGTGATTGCACTGAGTTATCTCCCCTGGTCAGATGCCTGCATGCTGAGTGTTTGAGTGCAGTGTGCACCAGAGGTCAAAAGGACTTGTGGTCTCCTAATTTGCCAAGAACACTTTGTCCTCAAGGGTAAATATTTCGATTATTAGCCGATTGTGTTTCCGTATCTTTGGCTAGTGTAAAACTATTTTTATTCCTAATATAGGATAATAATGATATGGAAACACACAAGGGTGATACTCTCTTTACCATAAATTTGTCATTCTTGGAATAATCGGCATGTTTCCAGTCAGCGAAATAACCGTGGCAACTTAAGAAACCATGTATGACAGTGGTACCCATGACCCATTTATCATGTAGTGCCAAATGATGTTTGTCTATGTTTGTCTGTTGAAACACCCAAATCAGGAAACCCCTATCAAAATGTATTGGGAATGTCAGTCAATAAATTATCAATCAGATAATGCATTAAACTCTCCTATCCAGAGTTTGGCACTCTATGATAAACATTGTACTCATGTGTAGTTCCTAAAGTTACTTCATTGAGGGAAAATATGTCTTAAACATTGAATACTCGAAGAATGACATTACATGATAAAGACATTATTACGCTCGTGTTTCAGTATTGTAAATATCATGTAATATTAGGAATTAAAACAATATGACATTATATTTACCATATGAAACACACTCGGCTGGTAATCTCTATGTACCACTACATGCTTGAACTTGATTGTATTCCTGGAAGTTTTAACATGGCTATCATTTATTGGACATGTAACACATATAGTCCAGTGTGTCACTGCATCATGTCATGCAGATAATCATTGATACGTTGTAGCACCACCCATGATATATATGTAGTTATCATAAACATTGACACTAATCACAGATGAAGTTGATTAACTTTCCATCAGTTTTGTGAAGGAATCAATCTCTTCCTGTACACATGGTAAGACATTGGACATATTGAAAAGATCAAAAAGCCATCATCATTAACTGAAATAGGTTGTGCGAAATGAGTTGAATATCAAATTTTGTCCACAAGCTCATTTTACATGTAGAAGTCTTTGTACTTAAGACACCCTGTGTGTTTTAGCTTTCTGGAGTATAATTGGCTGTCTTTGAAGTATGTAGTACATAATGTACACTTGCTCTTGTACAGTTAACCTTTTCTTTATTTTTTAACCTTTGCTCAGTTCCACCCCAAAGGCTCTGGAGTTACTATCATTTCAGTTGTTTTATGCTTTGAAAAAGTTTTCAGTGGTGCTTGTTTCTCAGTTTTGTTTGTAACTAGTTTGACTTTGAAATTGAATCCATGTATTTAAACATAGCATGGGATAGGAACAGTGATTTTACCTAAGACAAATGGCCTTGATGGCCTGATTTTGTTAACATTTAGGAGGACAGTTTGAATGACAATTTGTCACAATGTCAGTGTTCTAGAAAATGAACTGAACTGAAGCCGTGAGGTATGATGATACCAAAAACCCATCTGTCTGCTAGCCCAACTTGGCTACAGGTGTCAGTTATTATTGTACTATTATTAGCTGAGCTTACTTGACTGAACAGAATATTACTAGACTCTGGCTTCACATTCACCTGATGATAATCACTGATGTCACCATTCACCTGGTGATAATCACTGTCACCATACACCTGGTGTTAATCACTGTCACCATTCTGAGACCTGCATCACTTCGGGCTTTCCTCCCACATTAAGCTGACACGCCATGATATAACTGGAATACTGTTAAAAGCGGCGTTAAAACCCAACTCACTCAATCACATACAGGGTTGTAATCACTGATGTTGCCATTCACCTGGTGATAATCACTGATGTCTCCATTCACCTGGTGATAATCACTGATGTCCCCATTCACCTGGTGTTAATCACTGATGTCACCATTCACCTGGTGATAATCACTGTCACCATTCACCTGGTGATAATCACTGATATCACCATTCACCTGGTGATACTCACTGATGTCCCCATTCACCTGGTGTTAATCACTGATGTCACCATTCACCTGGTGATAATCACTGTCACCATTCACCTGGTGATAATCACTGTCACCATTCACCTGGTGATACTCACTGATGTCACCATTCACCTGGTGTTAATCACTGATGTCACCATTCACCTGGTGATAATCACTGATGTCACCATTCACCTGGTGATAATCACTGTCACCATTCACCTGGTGATAATCACTGTCACCATTCACCTGGTGATAATCACTGATGTCACCATTCACCTGGTGATAATCACTGATGTCACCATTCACCTGGTGATAATCACTGATGTCAGTTCAGCTTTGAAAAGGCAGTACAATTTCACGATTTGCCTTGAAATGGCCTTGAATTTGGCAACCATGGTTAACTTTGTTTGAAGTGAATCATTTGTGAATATGTTCCAATTAGTTTTGTCTCTTATGATGTGTGATGTGTCTGCAACTCAAGTGATATTTAATATCGAAACTGGAGTATGGACTTGAATATTTTTATTTTGTATTTGATTTGCCTTGGTACAGCCTTGAATTTTGCAGTGGAGTATGGACAATGGAGCTATTCTGGCAATAAAATAAAGTATAAATGACCAAATATCATGTGTTTGGAAGCACACATGTACGGTGGCCCATAAGGGACATGGAGTCTGTTTTTCAATATTTTGATATTTCACTTACTTTTATCGTAACCTTTTGCAAATTAACACGATTTGTCATACAAATATGTGATAAATCATGTATAAAAACAACCGAAAACATGGAAAATTTACTTTCAAGTAGCTATTGAGTCGCTGAAATGTGAAGCGAAAATGTCAAAAACTAAAATGAAACCACAGAAAACTATTTCCACCGCGGTGATAATATTCCCGCCGAGGTGATAATATTTCCACCCCCACCGCGGGGGAAATATTATCACCGCGGTGGAAATAGTTTTCTGTATTTTCGTTTTAGTTTTTGACATTTTCGCTATTGTTTTTGACATTTTCGTTTTTGTTGTTGACTTTTTCGTTTTAGTTTTTGACATTCTCGTTTTGGTTTTCGACATTTCCATTTTGCTTTTGACATTTTCGTTTTGGTTTTTGACAGTTTCGTTTTGTTTTTCAGCGATTCAATATCTTCTTTACACATGATTTATCACATATTTGTAAGACAAATCGTGTTAATTTGCCAAAGGTTACGATAAAAGTAAGTTATGATACTATGTTATTCAGTAAGGCCTACACTTCATCAGAATATATAACTCACCCAAGGGGATCTAGATAAGACTATAGGTCCCCAGCAACCTGTGCATGTGGAAGAGACAGCTAGGTGGATCATGTGGGAAGGCTCAGGGACTTGATTGACATGTCACAGTATCCCAAATGTGTGGATCGATGCTCATCATGTCAATCACTGGATTGTCTGGTCCAGACTTGATTACTTACAGACCACAGTCATATATAGCTGGAATATTGCTGTGTTCTTCTACCAACAAAAAAATTAACACCTTGTCTGAAAAACCCCAAACAAGTATTGAACACATGAAATAATATATTCATGTTATTATACCATATTTTACCCATGAAGATCCGGTTTAGAATAGGTCTTCAGCAACCCATGCTTGTAGTAAAAGGTGACTATGCTTGTTGTAAGAGGCGACTAACAGGATCGGGTGGTCAGTCTCGCCCACTTGTTTGGCTTGCATGTCATCATATCCCAATTGCGTAATCATTTACAGACCGCCATCATATAGCTGGAATATTGCTGAGTGAGGTGTTAAACAACAAATAAACATGTAACAATTGTTATTTGGGATAACACTTTCTTAGTAAGGTACCTCCTCATACCTTTTTGGGTTGAGTCCCATCCGTGATTCGAACCCACACTGCCAGAGTGAGGCACATAATCGCCAGCACAGAAAGTAAACGATCTAACCTACTCAGCCACCGAGGCTTCCGCAAAAAATAAAAGTCTGACAACTGGTGTTGTGCTGGCGATTAGGTGCCTCACTCTGGCAGTGTGGGTTTGAATCCCCGATGGGACTCAACCCACAAAAGTACCAGAATCTGTACTTTTTAAAGAAAGTGTTATCCCAAATATAGCATTTGTTACATTTGACCACTTACTAAATGGCATTGTGTGTTCATAACAAATTAACAAACATAATTATATGATATTTCTTTGTGGGTTTTTTTAAACCATGTGCCGATCTTCCACTGGTTGATGCATATTGTTTACTGCATTGGAAGTATTTACAACAATTGCACAATGCAAACAGTGTATCATCTAGGATATCTCAGTGTACCAGGCAGGTTATCTGTTTATTCTCTACTGTCACAGGCTCGGTTCTATGCTCCAAGTACCATCTTCGTTGATGAAATTGATTCAATCTGCTCCAAACGAGGCTCTGACTCCGAACATGAAGCTAGTCGGAGAGTCAAGTCAGAACTGTTGGTGCAGATGGATGGTGAGTAAAGTCATAATGGATGGTGAGACAGGTTACAATTGATATTCTGACAGATGAGAATGGATGGTGAGATGGGTGGGAATGGATTGTGAGATGGATGGGAATGGATTGTGAGATGGATGGGAATGGATTGTGAGAGGGTGGGAATGGATTGTGAGATGGATGGGAATGGATTGTGAGAGGGTGAGAATGGATTGTGAGATGGATGGGAATGGATTATGAGATGGATGGGAATGGATTGTGAGAGGGTGAGAATGGATTGTGAGATGGGTGGGAATGGATTGTGAGATGGATGGGAATGGATTGTGAGAGGGTGAGAATGGATTGTGTGATGGGTGGGAATGGATTGTGAGATGGGTGGGAATGGATTGTGAGATGGGTGGGAATGGATTGTGAGAGGGTGGGAATGGATTGTGAGAGGGTGAGAATGGATTGTGAGATTGGTGGGAATGGATTGTGAGATGGGTGGGAATGGATTGTGAGAGGGTGGGAATGGATTGTGAGAGGGTGAGAATGGATTGTGAGATTGGTGGGAATGGATTGTGAGATGGGTGGGAATGGATTGTGTGATGGGTGGGAATGGATTGTGAGATGGGTGGGAATGGATTGTGAGAGGGTGAGAATGGATTGTGAGAGGGTGGGAATGGATTGTGAGAGGGTGGGAATGGATTGTGAGTTGGGTGGGAATGGATTGTGAGAGGGTGGGAATGGATTGTGAGAGGGTGGGAATGGATTGTGAGTTGGGTGGGAATGGATTGTGAGTTGGGTGGGAATGGATTGTGAGAGGGTGAGAATGGATTGTGAGATGGGTGGGAATGGATTGTGAGAGGGTGAGAATGGATTGTGAGAGGGTGGGAATGGATTGTGAGAGGGTGAGAATGGATTGTGAGATGGGTGGGAATGGATTGTGAGAGGGTGGGAATGGATTGCATCTGCATCACTTGTTGACGGGGGTGGGGGTAGGGTGGGGGGTGTTCCTCACACATAAAACTGACACATCGTGATATAACTGAGGTACTCCCCAATCCAACTCACTTGCTCACTGAATTGTACTTTCCTCAGGTGTTGGTGGTGTTTGTGGTGAGGATCCCTCCAAGACGGTGATGGTACTAGCCGCAACCAACTTCCCCTGGGACCTGGACGAAGCATTGAGGAGGAGGCTGGAGAAGAGGATATACATTCCACTTCCTACAGGTCAGTCCACCATTTCCTCACAGTATCGCATGCTCTGCAACTTTAATACCATGGGCGTGAAGATCCAGGTTGGAACAGGTCTTCAGCAACCCATGTTTGCCGTAAATGACGACTATGCTTGTCGTAAGAGGCGACTAATGGGATCGGGTGGTCAGGCTCGCTGACTTGGTTGATGCATGTCATCGTGTCCCAATTGCGTAGATCGATGCTCATGGTGTCAATCACTGGATTGTCTGGTCCAGGCTCCATTATTTACAGATCGCCCTTATGTTGCTGGAATATTGGTGAGTGCGGCATTAAACAACAAACAAACAAAACCATGGGCATGTGTCCTCCAAAACCTATCAGTGTAGAATATTAGTGACAGTTCCAGGATATCAGTATTCTGTATCCACAGGTAATGTCACATAAACAGTAGGCACGACTGATTTGTCAGTGATTATTGCAGACCCTTATTGTCCAGTGATTCTGTGTTATTGATGTACTGACGTGAATGTTGGGTGATGTTTGCAGCTGAAGGTCGTGTCGAGCTGTTGAAGATTAACCTGAGGGAGGTAGAGGTGGCTGAGGATGCTAATTTGCCCGGCGTAGCTGCAAAACTGGACGGCTACTCTGGTGCTGACATTACGAATGTGTGCAGGTAATTAAATTCACTGTATGGAAAACAAGGCAACTGGTGTGTTGTTAGAGCCAGATTGAATGGGGGTTGTGGCCACTGGCTTGTGAGAGCCAGATAGAATGGGGGTTGGTGGCCGCTGGCTTGTTGTTAGAACCAGATAGAATGGGGTTGCTGACCGCTGGCTTATTGTTAGAGCCAGAGAGAATAGGGGTAGTGGCTGTTGTTAGAGCGAGATAGAATGGGGTTGGTGGCCGCTGGCTTGTTGTTAGAGCCAGACAGAATGGGGTTGGTGGCCGCTGGCTTGTTGTTAGAGCCAGACAGAATGGGGTTGGTGGCCGCTGGCTTGTTGTTAGAGCCAGACAGAATGGGGTTGGTGACCGCTGGCTTGTTGTTAGAGCCAGACAGAATGGGGTTGGTGGCCGCTGGCTTGTTGTTAGAGCCAGACAGAATGGGGTTGGTGGCCGCCGGCTTGTTGTTAGAGCCAGATAGAATGGGGTTGGTGACCGCTGGCTTGTTGTTAGAGCCAGACAGAATGGGGTTGGTGGCCGCTGGCTTGTTGTTAGAACCAGATAGAATGGGGTTGCTGACCGCTGGCTTATTGTTAGAGCCAGATAGAATGGGGTTTGTGGCCGCTGGCTTGTTGTTAGAGCCAGATAGAATGGGGTTGGTGACCGCTGGCTTGTTGTTAGAGCCAGATAGAATGGGGTTGGTGACTGCTGGCTTATTGTTAGAGCCAGAGAGAATAGGGGTAGTGGCTGTTGTTAGAGCCAGAGAGAATAGGGGTAATGGCTGTTGTTAGAGCCATGTTTGTGATGGTTTAATTGCTATGTCAGTAAGATTGTCCCAAGGTGAGCTTGTGAATATCAGTCTCCATGTTAGCCACAGATATGTCTCTTCATCGATCTTACTCTGTACAGTCAGTGTTCAAAATTAACCAATGTCCACTAGTCTGAGAATAGTGAAAGTCAGGAGAGACTATTGGCATTTCCTTCAGGACTACAACGTTTACCATCAGGTAGTTGGTATCTCTGCATATCATTTTTCTTGTGGATTGGTGAAAACATTCATTGCTAACCTTGACAATGCAAAACAATATACGTTTTGATAATTATTACTTGATTTTGTCAATTTAGAGATGCTGCGATGATGTCATTCCGAAGAAGAATTGAAGGACTGCGACCAGAACAGATTCGAAACATTCCGAAAGATGAGCTGATCCAGCCGACTACAATGGAAGACTTCGAGAACGCAATTCATAGAGTCAACAAGAGTGTTTCTAAAGAAGACCTGGAGCGATACGAAAAGTGGATGAAAGAATTTGGATCTGTGTAAAATAGAAGTCTTCAGTGGTTGACTGTCTTAAGGCTGTATCAACAACAAACACTATTTACTTGTATACTCACCATCAAAAGAAACACAAACTGTAGGAACATGTAGAGAAGTATGTGAGTTAAGAAGAGATGTTTCCAACATGTAACAATTATTGACAGAAATAACAGTCAGTCAAATGTTACCAGAGAGTGTCGGTATTCTTATCACAATATGCTGCTTGTGATTTCCAGACTTTACAAGCTAATCCTGCACGAGACAAATGATGCATCTCGAGTCATGGATCTATGACATCATATGTGATGCATTAATGAGCATCAGTTCACACAACAGACAGTTTGTTTGTGCATCGAACCAATCTAATCCCTCTTGAATATGAGTAATTTTTCATATAATAACCAACATGTCTGGTATTTGTGTTTCTTTTGGTAGTGAGTATAGATACCATGTAAAATAATATGAAAGCAGATATATGGATTATTTTTGTGTTAATGGTAAAAGTGTTTGCTGTCTCCCTGAAGATTGTGGTTTGATTTCACATACTGTACAGTTTTTGAAGCAGACACTAGTGTACCTCTATAGAAGTGCATTAAGACACAAGTGTCAATAGCACATTCCCAGTCAAGATCTGTCACACAGGAGTTTTGGTCAGGACACATTCTTGTGATCTGCCATGTCTGTAATCTTGCAATGCTCAAAGGTTTTTGTCACATGTATGGATACCTACATGTAATACGGTATCTTCGTATCAATCATCATTCACACAAAATGGGTTTTACCTTGAAAAGTCAAGCAACATCCATTCTTTCTTTAAGTGAGTGAGTGAGTATGGTTTTACACCGCTTTTTTTTAGCAATATTCCAGCAATATCACGGCGGGGGACACCAGAAATTGGCTTCACACATTGTACCCATGTCGGGAATCGAACCCGGGTCTTCGGCGTGACGAGCGTACTCTTTAACCACTAGGCTACCCGACCGCCCCTCTTTCTTTAAGAAATGATATTCATTAAGGAGACAATTCATGATTGAGATGTTTGAATTTATTGGCATGAAGCAGGAGCATGCTTTCTGTCTGTTGCATAGTTTGCTCCATAGTTTCTGGTTATGGATTTGGTTCAGGGTGAACATGGTGTCAAACTCTATCCACGATTATTCAGTTTATTATGATAATAGGAATCCATTTGATTGTGATAGATACCCGGGACCAGTTTCCTACCAAACCTTGATTCCTGTGACATGATGCACTCATGAGGGAGACAAATTCTTTTCTCATTGAAAAGAGATGGAGATGGTTACATCTTTTCAGAAACGCAACTTTTGTTATGAATGGGTCCAGGGTATTCATCATAATAACATGGAGTGTTTGTTTGTTGTTTAATGCCTCACTCACCAATATTCCAGGTATATGGTGGTGTTCTGTAAACAATTGAGTCTGGACCAGACAATCCAGTGATTGCCAATATTAGCACATCAATCAAGTCAGCGAGCCTGACCACCCGATACCATTAGAATGCTTCTTACAGCAAGCATGGGTTGCTGAAGACTAATTCTAACCTGGATCTATATGTATAGGCTGTGTGATTGAGCTTGACAAGTCTGATCACACAGGTCACATTTCAAGTATTTCTAGCAGGAAGTACAGTGCTTCAAAGAAAGCATGTTGCTATATGTCTTGGCCCCTAAGCCATGGTGAACATATGGTCTGTCAGCACCTGTGCTTGCCGGCTTCATCGAAGCTGTAAATGTCTACCACTTGTGTACTCACACATGTAGCTGACACACTTTGCTACTTCTGTAATATTGATTAAATCAGCCTCAAACCCAATTACTCACCATAGGAATGCCTTATCTGCGTATGCACCAAATTACGCCAATATATATTTGAAGACGAAGAAATGGCAGTTGTTGTAAAATTACTCTTTTGTGGGAATGCTTGATGTAAATATTGTTAAATCTTTCTAGATACTTTCAGCAGATATGGCATTAAAACCTTGGCTTGATGACAAAACAAGACATGTTTATATGAAATATATTATATTTGTATATTGGCTAGTTTCTTTATGAATCCTCACAAATATTATGGTCATTGACTGATAATACTGCTGTATCTGATAAATTAAACACTGTCACAGAACCTAGAATTCTCATGTTGTACTGTTGCCATTTGAGGGAGATTATAAAGGTTTCAGCTACAGCTACAGAACCAGATATTTGTTTTATTTAAAACTATGAGCCTAGTTTACGAAGGAGGTTTAGTGAGGGAGTGCCGAGTACCCGGAGGATGTGTTTACGAGGGAGGTTAAGTGAGGGAGTGCCAAGTACCCGGAGGATTGGTTTACGAAGGAGGTTTAGTGAGGGAGTGCCAAGTACCCGGAGGATTGGTTTACGAAGGAGGTTTATTGAGGGAGTGCCGAGTACCCGGAGGATGGGTTTACGAGGGAGGTTAAGTGAGGGAGTGCCAAGTATCCGGAGGATGGGTTTACGAGGGAGGTTAAGTGAGGGAGTGCCGAGTACCTGGAGGATGGGTTTACGAGGGAGGTTAAGTGAGGGAGTGCCAAGTATCCGGAGGATGGGTTTACGAAGGAGGTTTAGTGAGGGAGCGCCAAGTACCCGGAGGATGGGTTTACGAAGGAGGTTAAGTGAGGGAGTGCCAAGTACCCGGAGGATGGGTTTACGAGGGAGGTTAAGTGAGGGAGTGCCAAGTACCCGGAGGATGGGTTTATGAAGGAGGTTAAGTGAGGGAGTGCCAAGTACCCGGAGGATGGGTTTACGAGGGAGGTTAAGTGAGGGAGTGCCAAGTACCCGGAGGATGGGTTTACGAAGGAGGTTTAGTGAGGGAGTGCCAAGTACCCGGAGGATGGGTTTACGAAGGAGGTTTAGTGAGGGAGTGCCAAGTACCCGGAGGATGGGTTTACGAAGGAGGTTTAGTGAGGGAGTGCCAAGTACCTGGAGGATGGGTTTACGAAGGAGGTTAAGTGAGGGAGTGCCAAGTACCCGGAGGATGGGTTTACGAAGGAGGTTAAGTGAGGGAGTGCCAAGTACCCGGAGGATGGGTTTACGAGGGAGGTTAAGTTAGGGAGTGCCAAGTACCTGGAGGATTGGTATACGAAGGAGGTTAAGTGAGGGAGTGCCAAGTACCCGGAGGATGGGTTTACGAAGGAGGTTTAGTGAGGGAGTGCCAAGTACCCGGAGGATTGGTTTTAGAAGGAGGTTTAGTGAGGGAGTGCCAAGTACCCGGAGGATGGGTTTACGAAGGAGGTTTAGTGAGGGAGTGCCAAGTAACCGGAGGATGGGTTTACGAGGGAGGTTAAGTGAGGGAGTGCCAAGTACCCGGAGGATGGGTTTACGAGGGAGGTTAAGTGAGGGAGTGCCAAGTACCCGGAGGATGGGTTTACGAAGGAGGTTTAGTGAGGGAGTGCCGAGTACCCGGAGGATGGGTTTACGAGGGAGGTTAAGTGAGGGAGTGCCAAGTACCCGGAGGATTGGTTTACGAAGGAGGTTTAGTGAGGGAGTGCCGAGTACCCGGAGGATGGGTTTACTAGGGAGGTTAAGTGAGGGAGTGCCAAGTACCTTTACATCATGTTAGTTGTTTGTACACTCATGGACCATGACTATTAATTAACTAGATCCTCACCGGGGAACAACAGAGACCCAAGTATGGAACATGGCGGTTTAGTTTGCCCTACTCGGACCACAATTATTTGTTTGTTGTTTAACGCCGCACTCAACATTATTCCAGCTATATGACGGCGAGCAGTAAATTAATCGAGTCTGGACCAGACAATCCAGTGAGTAACATTATGAGCATCCATCCAGGCAATTGGGATGCGATGACAAGTCAAGTCATCGAGCCTGACAACCCGATCCGTTAGTTGCCTTTTACGGCAAGCATGGGTTGGTGAAGAACCAGAATTAGAACATACCGTATGAACCACAAATAGCACACAATTAGGATCTTCAAGCCACAGGATTTAACAAATATAATGTGGAGGATGTGTCGTGGGTTCCCTCCTTTCAGAGAAAGATTGTATGTCTTGGAGCATGACTGGAAAATAAGTCGAGAAAGGTTGGTTGGTTGGTGTGTTGTTTAACGCCGCACTCGGCAATATTCCAGCTATATGACGGCAGTTGGTAAATAATCTAGCCTGGACCAGACAATTTAGTGATTGACATCATGAGCATCGATCCACGCAATTGGGAACGATGAAGACCTATATTCTACCCCGGATCTTCACGGGTCAAGTCGAGAAAGGCTTTATAGACCAGTAGAAATTGAAACAGACCCAAATCTTTGTTCACCCTCCCCAGAAGGGTGTTACTGGTCACCAAGAAAAAAACAAAGAAAATCAAGTTTGGGGGAATATATTTTACTTGCATGATTTTTGGGGTGAGGTCAGTTGTTTCACACAAATGTCAGCAGGAATGCATTCGTCATGGCTACATATAGTACATGTAAAAATAGTTTAACTTCATTTTAGTCTCGATTTTCATTTCTCGGAAAACCTACCTTGATCATTATTTATTAGGAAAGAGTTAGTGATGGTGATACAACGTTGTGATTGATATTTATTATGAGCAGCAATGGATTGGAAACAGCAGCAAAGGGAAGCTACATTCCGTTATATTTGTCCAGGGCGTCTGGAGTTACTATCTGTTCAGGTAAATGTGAGGTGAAATTAGGTTTAACTTGGTCATATCTTTATAGTGTTAATACACGTATCAATATCAGCTCAATGGTATAAATGTCTCATTCTTGTTGACCGCCCCCTTGTTCAACTGGTAGAGCTTCCTCCCGGAGATCCCCGGCCGCATCATACCAAGAGGCGTTAAAAGATGGTACTTATTGTTACCCTGACTGGCGCTCTACCCTGAGATGGCATAATAAATAGGCATCAGTCCGGACTAGTACAAACAGCCATACCCGCACGTGCATGCACGTCGCTATATAAGTGCATTAATCTTAGACACGACGTTAAACCCAATTTCACCTCACCACTTCATTCTTGTTGAGAGGGGGCAGGGGTGGCCTAGTCGTCTAAGGCTGTGCAGAGTTGCCTCCATTGGGTACGCCAGAAACCTATGATTTTGGGTTCGAATCCCGGTTTGCCCCGATTATGTTTCTAGGTTAGTCTGTTGTGATTCTTTTCTCAACAGAGATTATAGAAGGCTCTGTTCAGAAGGTTTAAATACCATAAAATGATTGCCCCACTGTAAACTTTCTATAATAATCGATGTAACTATCATCAACCAGTGTTGAGGCAACTCATTGCTGAGCATTTTGAATATCGGCTGGTATGGGGCAACCACTGGTAACTAAAGTGATGACGTGAATCCTGCGGGGATGTCGTGCCGGAAGCTGAAACACTGTACATCCACACGATCACCAGCGAGGTGACCCAGCTTTGGTTACTGGTGGCTTAAATAGTCCGTGTTTTAAACAGTTGTACAAAATATTGTTCTAAATATAATTTTGTATTCAGACTCTCTTAAATTTATGTTCTCGTCGCTAGATGCCTGAATAATGCTGATGCGACGTTAAATTTTATCTCACTCACTTTCGCTCGGTTGAATGTCATATTGATGTTCAGCTTATTATTGATGTTCGCTATAAACAACTTAATAGGCAAGCTGTTACCACGCATAGTATCAAACGCCCATGCTGTTACTGAATGTGTTGCTTGCGTACTGTGAGTTCTTAGAGCACGTACATCACAGCATAGAAGCAGCAGACACGAGACAGCGTGAGTACCCCCTCCCGTGTTTGACACTGTTCAAGTCTTATCACGACAGGGGTCCCCGAGAAAGGGTTTCACATAGTAATTTTTCCCAGCCTTGGGTGGGCCAAAGCTTTATCTTCCTGGTTTCCAGAACTCGAAAAATAACATTCGTCACCATTCGTCCCTTTCCGTAACCTCTGCGATTTCGTCCCCACTCGCCCCTTTCCGTTACCTGCAAGAAGATTTCCGGCTGATCCTGGTTGGTGGCGAAAGAAGGTGAGAATCACACGAAGTTGCAGATTCGGCCACACAGCTTTCGCTGGTTCCCGGCGCAAGCCTGATTACACATAAGCCCATGGCGGGAAGCAGCAACTTTTAGTCCGTTTGTTGCAATATCGTGCCGATGAAATGCAAAATAGAAATAAATACCAAAGCAACTCGTCACAATAATTTCAGATATTGTCATGAAGTAGAGAAAAAGTTGTTTAGCCAAATCTCATGTACTTGATGGTGTATTGTTACAAGGGGATCTGCACTGTAAACTGAACAGCCCAACATTCGCACGTGAAACATGCGAGTGGTGATTGCGGCCGGTTGCAACGTCGAGTTCCCAGACATACAAGTCTAACTCCACTCCTAAGGCGAGGTTAGCATATCATCGTACCCGCTTTTCAGTCTGTATGACAGTCTCAGCAGCAGTTTAGTAAGGGAATCCATACAGCAGGAATGTTTTGCTGGGATTTTCTGCCACTGTATTGGTTCAAGTGCGGCCCAGACAATCACGTGATTGACACCATGAGCATCGATCCAGGCAATTGAGACCTATGACATGTTTCAACAATGTCAGCGAGCCTGACCACCGATCCGTTTGTCGCCTCTTACCACGAGCATTGTCGCCTTTGGGTAGCCCTCTCGTCTGAGGCGCCGCGATTCGCTGTGCAGAGTTGCGTCCCTTGGGCAAGCCAGAAACCTATGATTGTGGGTTCAAATCCCGGTTCTCCCCGATTATGTTTCTAGGTTTGTCAGCACCATACCGTGCTCCTGGGTTTCACCGAAGTGGTAAACGTCTGAGACCTGCATCACTTCGGGCTTTCCTCCCACATTAAGCTGACACGCCATGATATAACTGGAATACTGTTAAAAGCGGCGTTAAACCCAACTCACTCACTCACTTTTACGGCAAGCATGGGTTGCTGAAGACCTATTCTACCCCGGATCTTCACGAGTCAATGTACATTGAACGTCACTAAATATTCTTTCTTAATGTACTACAGATATCGTCTAATCTTATCTTACTTATATTTCCTTAACCCTTATTTTATACTTCAATTGTTAATTCTAATCAGATATTCACTGACAAAACACTTTGAATTTTGCGCAGGTGACAAATTAATGTACACGGGTATATCATAATTGATACTCAGCGCGTTTCGCTGCTATTCCAATGGTTACATTTGTAGACTAAACAACTCACATACTGATGTGTTAGAAGGTACACATTTCCTGATATAATGCGACATGATATTTTAAGGAACTGAAGGTATTCAAAATTATGTTTTTAAACTAATATCCCATATGTGTGCCGATATATGTACAGAACTGGTGGTCCCGTGAAGATCCGGGGAAGAATAGGTCTTCAGATACCCATGCTTGCCGTAACAGCGACTAACAGGTGGTCAGACTCGGTGACTTTGTTGATGCATGTCATCGTATCCCAAAATTGTATGTAAATAATCGAGTCTGGACCAGAAAATGCAGTGATTAATATCATGAGCATCGTTCAACGTAATTTGGATACGATGACACGCATCACCTAAGTCAGCAACTTTCGTGACCAGACCCGTGAAGATCCGGGGTAGAATAGGTCTTCAGCAATCCATGCTTGTCGTAAGAGGCGACTAACAAGATCGGGTGGTCAGGCTCTCTGACTTGGTTGATGCATGTCATCGATCCCAATTGCGTGGATCGATGCTCATGATGTCAGTCACTGGATTGTCTGGTCCAGACTCGATTATTTACAGACCGCCGTCATATAGCTGGAATATTGCTGAGAGCGGCGTTAAACATCAAACAAACAAACAAACATTCGTGACCAACTCGTCCCATTCCGAGACAAGCCAAATGAAATTTGTTGAAGTTACCGGAAACATGCGATTTGTGACATGCGAGTGGTGACGATTGAGTCAGCGAGCCTGACCACCCGAACCCGTTTGTCATCTTTTGCGAGCTGCATGGGTTGATGTAGGCCATTTCTAACACGGATCTTCAGGGGTCTGATTTTAATGAGATTGCGTTCCTATAACGGACTGATTTTGTTTTGTGTAGACAACAATGGATGACGGCGTGATTGTTCGACGTGCATCAGTGGAGGACTACAATGCAGTTATGGACATAAACAAACATGTCTACTTTGGCCTGGACTACATACCGTCTCAGTATCTGGACATGGCACAGGACCCAGACTTCGCCCTGTATGTGTGTGAGCACGAAGGCAAAGTGGTGAGTAGGTTTTCATTATTTCAGACATGGGTGGCCCACAACTCGCTTTGTAGAGTTGCGTCCCTTAGGGGTACCAACCACTTGTGATTGCTGGATCGAATTCCGATTTGCACTGATCATGTTTCTAGGCTTGACAGCACAATCCATGCGCGTGGGTTTCTCTAATATTGACTTCATACCTTGCACAAACCTGCCACAGCGTCTCTTCTCTTGTATCTTGAGACCGGTCGGTCTTTATTCTGAGACCATGAGAGCCAGACACCGCTTCCGTGGTCTAGTGGTAGAGCGTCCGCCCGGAGAGCGGAAGGCTCGGAGTTCGATCCCCGACCGCGTCCTACCAAAAGACGTTAAAAGATGGTACTTGTTGTTACCCTGCCTGGCGCTCGGCATTAAGGGGCTAAAACAAGGACTGGTCGGCTCGGAATCAGCATACTGTGTCTGAGGGGTATTCATGTTAAACTGCGGCATGGTATCTCAGTGAGCTAGCACTATAAATCGGCATCAGTCCGGACTAGTACAAGCAGCCACACAAACACACATACACGTGCATGCACGTCGCTATATAAGTGCAATAATCTTGGACGCGACGTTAAACCCAATTTCATCTCACCTCACCAGAATGAAACTGTGCCACAGGGACACGAAACTCTTTATTGTTTTAAGATAATATTAATGTCCACATTTGAGAAAAGTTTCTACTGTTTGAATTACTGAAAAAGAGACACCTTAGTTTGAAACACCCCTGTATTACAATATTCTTTATTGGCATTAATTTCAACAACTAACTTTTGTATGTTAATGAGCAACTACTTATCTGAACAAATTATTCTGGAGCTGTCTGTCAGACGCCTGTTTGTTTGAATTGGTTATGGAAGTCAAGTGACAAGATGCTGCCATTGCGCATCGGCTACAATTCTGAGTTGGCCTTTTTTACTTTCTTCTTTGTCCTGTGTTGAGATCCGTTGGTCGTGGACTTCCCACATCATCAAGCGTCTTCAGCAACCCATGTTTGCCGTAAAAAGCGACTATGCTTGTCGTAAGAGGCGACTTACGGGATCGGGTGGCCAGGCTTGGTTGATGCATGTCATCGTATCCCAATTGCATTGATCGATGCTCATGATGTCAGTCACTGGTTTGTCTGGTTCAGACTCGATTATTTACTGTCATATAGCTAGAATATTTCTGAGTGCGGCGTTAACAAACAAACATCAAGCAGCTGACATTCCGTGATGTAATTGAAAAACTGTCCAAGGGGGAGTTTAACCTCACTGACCTACTTCTACACAACTATCAGTGACGTGAACACATGCACATGTTTTGATATGTCAATATACAGATGTCGAGAGACAATATTTGCTTTTAAACATAATTCATATTATTAGTCGAGATGGAAACAACACTACTCATGTCCATGTATTCTTTACCCCACAGATAGCGTTTGAGGCCGTTTGTGAGGTCAACGGAGGTCACACCCTGATGATGAGGTCAGCTCGTGTGCACCAGGACTATCAAGGTCGAGGCCTTCTTTTGAAATTGCGGAAGCAAATTGAAAAGGACTTCTCAAGAAATCCATTGGTTCACAGCATTGCCTCCAGTTTGGCAGCAACCGTCAAATACAGGGAGAATGCCTCTTTTTTGGCCAAGAACACACTTATGTTTGAACGGGTAAGAACATATGGTACTATACTTACAGTTGCAAAGTAATCCCCCATACACATTTGACAGATTATATGAATGCAAAAAATATATAATGTCAATGCCAGAGAATAGCCACTCTCGATAATCCACCGAAACAGATTCCATTGAGTGTGAAAGGCAAACCAGCGGTGGAAATTATATGAATGGATCACTGAAATTCAGTTATCACACCAGGGCCCACTTGCACAAAGCGATCTTAGCGCTAAGATGATCGTAACTCCCATACTTTAACATAGGCTTACGATAGTTGTAGCGCTAAGATCGCTTTGTGCAAGTGGGCCCAGGTGGTCACGGAAAAGGTAAGCATTTCCTGCCCTATCGTTAGGACACACCACTCACACAATTTGCAAAAACCTTTGTTAGTATCAGAGATCCACTTACATGGGGGCACGGGTGGCCCACTCGTCTGAGGCGCCGCGATTCGCTGTGCAGAGTTGCGTCACTTGGGTCCGCAAGAAACCTATGATCGTGGGTTTGAATCCAGGTTCGCCCCGATTATGTTTCTAGGTTAGACAGCACCATACCCGAGCTCGTGGGTTTCACCGAAGTGGTAAACGTCTGAAACCTGCATCACTTCGGGCTTTCCTCCCACATTAAGCTGACACGCCGTGATATAACTGGAATACTGTTAAAAGCGGCGTCAAACCCAACTCACTCACTCCCTCACACCATTTAAATATTCACAGTGCGCATGCAAAGGCTCATGACGTTAAGTTATTATCTTAACAAAGAATCCATTTACAGGTCTTGTTCTACCACACATGCAACATACATGAAGCCATAGAGAAAACAACCGTTAAGAGCAACGCACAGCAGATATCATCTCAAGAGTTTTGTAACCTCTTTGAAAACGAAAAGCTTATGAAATATTTGTTTCCATGGCAACGTGTCGCAATCAACAGCTGGCATCTGAGACTGATTGCCGAAAATAGACGCCATATTGACAGACAGAAACCGGTTATTTTTATCAGCCAAGGTTTAGAGCAGTGTGGGGGGTTTCTCACACTGGGGCTGGTGATTAGGGTCCCTGTGGGTTTAGCACTGCATTTGGAAATCTACGGTAGCAGTGACGACACGGAACTGGAGAAACACTTGTACAGCCAGATGTTGGCCGTGAGGGGGTTAACCTCGGAGAAGGTGCACCTCATGTCATACTGTGAGACAACGTTGGAACCTTCGGTGATATCCAAGCTGTACGCGCGTTTGGAGTTCGATGTGATGGACAACCCTTTTAGGACTTTACAGTTCTTTGAGGAGGACTTCCACCCTGATGTAGCTGAATCTACTAAATCTTGATTTATATCATGCTTCTGTTGTTGATCTCGTGTGATGTTTGTGATCAGAACTGGATTTGGCTAAATTCAGTGAGTGAGTGAGTGAGTTGGGTTTAACGCCGCTTTTAAACAGTATTCCAGTTATATCGCGGCGTGTCAGCTTAATGTGGGAGGAAAGAACGAAGTGATGCAGATCTCAGGCGTTTACCACTTCGGTGACACCCATGAGGTACAGGTATGGTGCTGACAAACCTAGAAACAAAATCGGGGCGAACCTAGATTCGAACCCACAATCATAGGTTTCTGGCGTGCCCAAGTGACGCAACTTTCCACTGCGAATCGCGGCGCCTTAGACGACTGGGCCACCCGTGCCCCCTAAACTCAGTGTCTGACATGAAGGAGTGATGGATTTTAGATGGTAGGTATATTTCAATCGTTGCATTACGTTGAGTTCTGAAATCTCCACACAATCGAACAACACCAGAAAGTTACCTAAGCTTTTAAATGGTTGAAAAGATACAATTCCGACACGCTTTGCTGGATCATATCCTAGTAATGTAGTCATTCTATAAGATCCTATGATTGCTCAGGATGTGACTTTAAATTTAAACTCACTTGAACTATGATTGCTCAGCAATACAAGGGCAATGCTTGAGTGAGTGAGTGAGGAATAAGGCGATTCTCACAATGCATGTCAAATTTCTAATAGTAAAATATAACTTATACAAAAAGAAGTGTTTGTTTTTTGTTTAACGCCGCATTCAGTGATATTCCAGATTCATCACGTCCGCTTGTAAGTAACCGAGTCTGGGTCAGACAAAACAGTGTCTGTAAGTTTGTTTGATATTTGCTTAAAGACAACTCGTCAATATTTCAGCTTTATGATCACGGCCTGTTAATAACGAGTCCAGTCAAACCAGTGGTTGATATTATTGGCAACGTCAAACACCGTCGGCGTAGGATGGAACTCAATCAACCAAATCACCGAGAATCAACCAAATCGCCGAAAATCTACCAAATCGCCGAAAATCTACCAAATCGCCGATCGTGACAACACTATCCATTTAGTCGCCCCTCAAAACAAGCAGCACTGACTTGGGGAACAGTTCCGACCATGAGTCCCCCAGAGTGCATGGTGATCTGTGCACGCCATCTCGGACGCTGACGCCAAATTACACGGTCATCGTATCATATGATAATATGAATCGGGGGAACGGATGGCCTAGTCGTTTAAGGCGCTGCGATTGGATACTGCTTCCCTTAGGCATGCCAGGAACCTGTGACTCTGGGTTCGAATCCCGGTTCGCCCTGATTCTGGTTCTATAGTTTTCTGTCAGCACCGTGCCCTGCTTGTGGGGTTCACCAAGTGACAGATGTCTAAGAGCTGCATCACCTCGGGTTCACGTTCCTCCCACATCAAACTGACATGCCGTGTTATAACTGAGTGAGTGAGTATGGTTTTACGCCGTTTTTAGCAATATTCCAGCAATATCACGGCGGGGACACCAGAAATGGTCTTCACATATTGTACCCAAGTGGGGAATCGAACCCGTGACTTCGGCGTGATGAGCGAACGCTTTAACCACTAGGCTACCCCGTGTTATAACTGAAACACTGTTCCCGGAATTCTTTACCTAGAATGGAAGAGGCACTTAATGGATATTGTAGCACATGACCGAAAAGGATGCTCTGTATTCTTGAAACAACACGGGCCTTTTATAGCCACTTTCCTTGCTAAATGAGTGAGTTTTAACGCCGCTTTAAACAGTATTCCATTTGTATCACGTCTCCGACGTTTACCACTTTGATGAAACCCACGAGCATGGGTTCGGTGCTGACAAACCTAGAAACATCCGTGCGAACCTGGATTCGAACCTACGTTTACAGGTTTCTGGCGTGCCTAAGGGTCACAACTCAGCACAGCGAATTCGGCGCCTTGGCGCCACCGGTGTCCCCTACCCTTGCGGAGAATACGTACTCGTCCACTGGTTGAAATATGCTACACTTTCTGATGAAGCTACATTAGTAATCCAATAAGTATTTATATTTCCCAGGTATACGGGGATATTAGATTAACACAAAGGATACTGAAATGCAAACACATGTGATGAAAACGAACATGACATTTCATAAAAATAGAATAATGATCACATTAAATTGGGGTAAATAGATAAGCTTAGAAAGAGTATTTACACGGTGCTATATTTGTGAATATAAAACGTCAACGCCAGAGAACAATCAGTTTCGATTAACTGCCGTAACAGATTCCAATTGTCGTAAAAGGCAAAATAGCAGTGAAAATCACATAAATGGATCACTGAAAATCAGTGATGACACCAGGTGTTCGCGAAAAGGGTAAGCATGTCCTGCTCTACTTGTAGCACCCGCCACTCTCGCAGTGTGCATGAAGACGGAAGTGTTCGCTCACAACACAAGTTCGTCTACGAGTCCACAACCCAGGTCCTCAACAGAAGTCTTTAGCTCTGAACTGCCCAGTTCTCTCAGGCTTACGTATATATATTATATTCAATAAATGAATTTTGCTGACCATATTCATAAACTGGTTATTCGACCATGTGGTACCTCGTCCACAATCACAATGTTTCTTGTACAGTGGTCGTCAGGATCTTACTCTTGACCTTGTCTTGTACTTAGAATATACATGACTTCCCACCACTTTTAATGAGTGAGTGAGTGAGTTGGGTTTAACAATTATATACTTGTCAGAAAAGCGTTGGTCCTCTTTATCACATGTTTGTAGTGACCGTTTATTTGTATTATGAGCCTGGTTTAGGAAGGAGGTCAGGGAAGGTAGTGCCGAGTACCTGGAGGATTGGTTTAGGAAGGAGCCCCCCCCCCCCCCCCCCCCCCCCCCCCCCCACACACACACACACACATACACACTTTTAATAAATAACGGCCAAACGATGTTCCCGGCCCGTGCATATTTGTCCTATGGCCCCGTTGTAAACCACCCCGACCCCCCACGTGTTTGGGCGTGGGTGCAAACGTGCCTTCCAGTGTAGAGACCGGCCAGGCGATTATTTCCTGTCATATATTATTGTATAGTTATTATCTGTTGTGTGACAGAGCTCGAGGTAACATTAAAATGTAACATATTGGCTTTACAGTATTGTCATACACGGTGTAATGGTTGGCCGGTGCATCCGCCATCACAGCAACTGTGTGTACATATCACGTGATAATGGCGTTGTCGAGATTTGATTGGTTGTTTATGAACTTTGATCTCCCCACGAATGTTCTTTCCGCAATTTCATTGATTTTTCATGTGTATCGCGTTTATATTGTGATGTCCACCAAAGTGCTATGAAACACTCTATTGTGTGTATGGACGTGCGTCAACACAAAATGTACATTTCACACTGTCGGGGGTCATGTGACGTCATCACATCACATGACCCTGATCGCTGTTACACCACAACTGTTTTTTTATAACGTGTCATATTCACAATGAAACATCTGCTACGCGGATTCATACAGTTTGCACATCGGTTTTTCGATTCATACCTCAATGAACCGAAAAAAATACACAGTCAATCCTTAAGTGTTTTGGGATGGTAAATAGCCCGTTTGGAAATAAACAAGGCTCGCTAAATACATAATATTACCCATAAGATAAGAATGATTAGTGTGCAATAACTTTCAGATATAGCTGATGTTGATTGGAGAGTTGAGGCCACAATACGTCACAGTGTTTCATTTTTAAAGGAGTGGCAGGATAGCCTAGTGGGTATCGCTAAAAGCGGCGTAAAACAATACTCTCTCACTCATTATTTTGAAAATACGATATGACGTCATCAATTGTTCATGACGTGACAAATTAATAACATGACGTCATCTTAACAATAGGCTGCCTGCAGTGAAGATTATCTGTATTTATCGCCTCGGGACAGATAATCCGTAATTCTTCGTAGCTACCGTTTTTACCATCCAAAAACAAGCGTGATAATCTCTTTTTCATATAATGTCATTCTCAATTTAATTTGAATCATATCGTCGGAAAACACATCGGTACCTAACCATTGCAAGTTTCCATGGCATGTGCGCATTAATGTATTACTTCACAATCGCTGTGATGAGTCAGTCGGACAGGCACAGCAGGTAATATATACTCTTACAAAAAAGTAGAGGATTCCAGAAAATAACTTAAAAATTCCAAAATTGTAGGATATATTAGGTGCTTGTTATAGGTGGATGCTACTTAACGAATCGGGAACACGTTACAACCGGTATCAAAGTAGACGTTATGGCCGCTCAGTCATAGTGATGCCACCCCAGACGATATAGTGAGTGAGTGAGTGAGTTGGTTTTAACGCCGCTTTTAACACTATTCCAGTTATATCACGGCGTGTCAGCTTAATGTGGGAGGAAAGAACGAAGTGATGCAGGTCTCAGACGTTTACCACTTCTGTGAAACCCACGAGCACGGGTATGGTGCTGACAAACCTAGAAACATAATCAGGGCGAACCGGGATTCGAACCCACAATAATAGGTTTCTGGCTTGCCCAAGTGACGCAACTCTGCACAGCGAATCGCGGCGCCTTAGACGACTGGGCCAGCCGTGCCCCCCAGACGATATAGCTGATCCACCGCCACATCTGGCTTGACGTTCAGTCATTTCGACGTCTCCAGACACGAACATGCCTATTCAGGAAGTGCAAAGTGAATCGGGACTCACAACATGACACGATTATTCCAGTTTCGACGTTGAATGTGTTCACCATTGACGTCCGTAGGCAATGTGACGGTTTTTAAGGGACGACACAACACGTGGTCATGGGGCATGAAGATGAGTTTGCATGTAGACGATTTCTTATCGTCTGACCCGTATCTCATACTTCAGTAGACTATGAAAGTTTACAGCATTTTGATTCGCTGTTTGAGCTGGATTTCGTGGAGCCTGGTTTCGGACTAATCAATCATGTACTGTTGTTGACCTGAACGGGGCCGATCGTCAACATTTTGGGTTTGTAAGTATCTGTATAAGTATGGTGCTGTCAAACCTAGAAACATAATCGGGGCGAACCTGGATTCGAACCCACAATGATAGGTTTCTGGCGTGTCCAAGGGACGCAACTCTGCACAGCGAATCGCGGCGCCTTAGACGACTGGGCCACCCGTGCCCCCGTTAAGTTTACAGAAATAAACATGACTTGCATAGGATGTGTGCCGTCAACACTTATCTTTGTTCAAATATTTGGCATTAACATATATATTTCATGATCCCCTACTTTAAAGTTCCATCTGACACTTATTGTTTAGACAGAGGCTTAACTACCTTATAGGCAAAATTAATCATTTTTAAGCGTAACCTTTCAAAGCACAAAAATACCTTTCTCTGTGATCGTATTTCGTGGCAATACAAAGGTCCGCCGAATCCAAATCGATGCTCCCTTAGATGTTCAAAATATACGTTTGATAAACAACAAACTGTATAATCGATTATTTGGGATCCTGCTGTCATGTTAGTATGAGACAGGGCGGGCTTATTCCAACAGCTGAAGAGCGGTTAGAATGGGACCGACGGCCCTATCCTCACGCTTTTTAGACTTTTACAAAAGTTTCACAAATTCAAGTGTGAAATATTTCTTTAATACGTCCTCTCGGAACCCGACAGGTTAGCCCGCCACACATTCAGCTACAAGCACCTGACATATAATGTATAAACCATGCATCGACATATATACTACTCAAGCAAGTTAAAGAACGCACACAACTGGAAGGCTGTCTGTTGCAATACCCACCAGTCATGACAGACTCACTATAGCCACATGAAAATATCTGTTCTTTAAGTTCTGTCGAGTAGTATGTTCAGAGCAAGTAAGTGTCAGACTATCCTGTCACACGCCTCAGGCAAACATGCGACAGACTACCCAGGTTGTGCACGCTGTTACGTGTCGATTCCCAAATTGAAACAATATATTAACACAAAAAGAACGTAAAAGAACATAGTGTGAAACCAACCAACAACAATCATAAAATAAACTAGGTTTACAAATCAACACAAATTACTGCACAGCAATTACAATGGCAGTACACAATGGAGTGGTAGCACAATATTCAATGGCGATATGTGATATGATGGCAGTTGACAGTATCAATCACATAAATACAGTGCTAAATCAGACCTGGGGTATTCGTATTCGAATATTATTCAATACAAAAAATTGAGGACAGTAAACTACGGTTATAACGAACTCAAAGGGACCACTAATCTTAGTTCGTAACTGTAGTTCGTTATAAGCATATATACACCATATATATAAGCAAATGGCCAGGACCAAAAATATGTTCGTTATATCCGTCAGTTCGTTATAAGCGTGTTCGTTATAAACGTAGTTTACTGTATTCGCAAGTATTCAGTATTCATAACAACTCATGAATACAAGTATTTATATTGTACACGAATACTCGCTTGAAAACCCCTGTATTCATGAATACTTTCTAAATACATTTTGAATACCTTTGTACATATATTAAAAATGCACCTTATTTAAATCACAACTGCTGAGAGCAAAATTCATTGATACTAATATATTCACCCATCGGCGACAGTGGTCAAGCTTCCGAGAAGGGCCCAGGCAGGGTGTCCAAGGTGATAAGTGATCTGCTGACATTAGACAGTACTACATTCCTGACTACTAATCATTGTAAAAAGACAACCCAATGAGCTTCTACCGAATCTCAGCATAAACAATGTAATACAGTTACAATCATTGTTTAACAATAAAATACACTTCCTTATAACAGTTTGTTTGTTTGTTGTTTTACGCCGCACCCAGCAATATTCCAGCTATATGACGACTTGGTTGATGCGTGCATCGTATCCCAATTGCGTGGATTGAGGCTCATGATGTCAATCACTGGATTGTCTGTCCAAGAATCGATTATTTACAGGCCGGTGTCATATAGCTGTAATATTGCTGAGTGCGGCGTTAAACAATAAACAAACAAACAAACAAACAAACAAATCATCGCGGTACGGAATTGTAAAAGCCAAATAGAAAACCAGAGACGTGTAACCATAAATAACAAAAATCCTGATGACTATACATTAATCAGCTTCAAAATAGTTTTTATCCAAAACTCTATAACAGGTGGGTAGCTATGCCCTGTCAGCACTTAGATTGTGTCCCCGATTTGTCATAATGTCATGCATCGATTACATACACCCCAACAGCTGGTTTGTGCTTCCCAGTCATGTGTCTGGCACCTCTTGCAGTACATGCCCATCATAAAGGTGTGTTTCCGGGATGCTATCTGCCTCAAGAACATTATCTGGTAAGTGGTATTGTCAGCTTGCGACGACTGTTGCAGGTCCGGGTGGTGGGTATATATATTGATAGCAATTTCGCTTTCAAACTATTCCATTTTGACAAGACCCAGTAAAGGTAAGGCAAATTGACCGTCTATCGACATAGTGAGAATGGGCTCAGGATCGACTGCAGGGGTTGGCAGACATTTGGGACATGCGTGAGTGAGTGAGTGAGTATTGTTTAACGCCGCTTTTAGCAATATTCCAGCAATAGCACGGCGGGGCACATCGGAACATGGGCTTCACACATTGTACCCATGTGAGGAATCGAACCCGGGTCTTCGGCGCGACAAGCCAACGCTTTAACCACTAGGCTACCCCATCGCCCCCTGGGACATAATGTGTCACGCCAGTCACTCTTAACTCCGGTTTATCACCACCACACCTGTGCTACGGGGTTTCACCGAAGCGGCAAACGTCTAAGACCTGCATCACTTCGGGCTTCCCGTCCTGATATAACTGACCTGCTCTTCAAAGCGTCGTTTAGCCAAACTCACTCACTTTCCGTTATGTGCACATAGGCGTTTTAGCGATTCAATTGAAGCCTTATATACATCACTTGTTCATTGTTGAAAAAAACGATATGATGTCATCCATTGTTCATGGTGTCACAAATTGATTACATGACGTCGTCTGAAAAATAGGGTGCCTTCAGTTACGTTTCTCTGTAGGGTTGACTGTAGTTGTTTTTTCATCATTTACAAGCTTAAAATGTCAATGAGCAATACATAGAATGACCTAATCGAAACTCGTGATTACGCGTTATCTGTCGTGAATGAATGCTGTAAGTCTCTTGCCAATGGTTCTGGATTAACACCATTTATTCACCCGTGAGGGGGCAAGGGTGACCCAGTCGTCTTAGGTGCCGCGATTCCCTGTGCAGAGTTGCGTCCCTTCGGCACAACCTAGAAACCTATGCTTATGGGTTCGAATCCTGGTTCGCTCCGATTATGTTTCTAGGTTTATCAGCACCATACCTGTGCTCGTGGGTTTCACCGAAGTGGTAAACGTCTGAGACCTGCATCACTTCGGGATTTCTCCCACGTTAAGCTGACATGCCGCGATCTAACTGGAATACTGTTAAAAGCGGCGTTAAACCCAACTCACTCACTCACTCATTCACTCGTGACAGATAATCTGTAATGCCTTTTAGCACGTGGGTAATTCTCTGAATGGCATATAGGATATTGAGCGCAGGCATATTCTGTTAACATCGAAACCACACGACAGATGAAAATGTAACTTAGTCTGATGACAGCGAGTGTGTCGAGTGTTCTGGTCCGTTTTTAATCGAAATCATACGTCAATTATTTATAACATAACTATAAACCTTGAAAGCGCCAACACTACGTTGTTGAAATACCTATGACTTGCAGTGTAGAAACAACGGCTTATTTTGCCGAAACTAATATCCAAATGCAGACCTTAACCATACAGTTTGTTACCACGAGTTGGTTCAGGCTTGTTCCGTGTATAACCACTGAGGTGATTAATGACAGTTATATCTGACGTTGCCCTGCGGTATATAGCTGTGCATCTTCCCGGGGCAAGAGAGTTAACTGACTTTCAAAGTCCAGTTTCAACCCTTGCCGAACTAAGCTGGAATTACTGGGCTCGATCGTAGCGCCACCAGTGGCTATTACGAGTTATGTCCTTTCTTTAAAAGCATGAAAAGATTTATAAAATATCTGTTGACAACGAGTTAGCGGTGCACATGCTTGGCAAATCCTGCAGTCGACCGAAATCTGCATGACACTTTACGAACCGGATTTCGATTTCGGTGCGCGATTTTGATTGGACTATGCATAGACTCGTTAGTCCAGCCAAAATGTAACTCAATAATACCAGCCTAGTTCGGCAAGGGTGGAAACTGGATTTCTATAGTCAGTTAACTCACTTGCCTCGGGAAGATGGTAGCTGTGTCGATTATCCATGATTGTGGGGAGAGTTGTAACAGCATCCATCCATTTCGAGGGGGTTGGGGGATAGCAGGGTGCCTACACCCCGTTCTTACCGCATACTCAATATTTTTACATTCGGAAATTTCATAAAACTCAATTTCAAGATTACTGACGCTTATTGTCAAATCTTGCACCCCTCCTTTCAAAAAGACTTTATTGGCGCTGCCCAGTTGGTATAATGTTTGGCGATCAGGCCATGGGTTGTGTGTGGCGTTCCATGTTTGTCACATTGCAGTCATTTATGACAAAATACCTGATGTTATCCTCAGGGTAGATGTTGATTATCTATGCCTGAGACTGATTAACTCTTTGTGGATCAACACCCTACATAAAACACAATATGAACTTCTTGCAGCGTGACTGTTTGTCTGTAATTTGGCGTTGCGCGTGGAAAGAATTGTCCAATGAGTGAGTGAGTTGGGGTTAACGCCGCTTTTAACAGTATTTCAGTTATATCACGGCGTGTCAGCTTAATGAGGGAGGAAAGCCCGAAATAATGCAGGTCTCAGACGTTTACCACTACGGTGAAACCCACGAGCAAGGGTATGGTGCTGCCAAACCTAGAAACATAATCGGGGCGAACCGGGATTCGAACCTACAATCATAGGTTTCTGGCATGTCCAAGGGACGCAACTCTGCACAGCGAATCGCGGCGCCTTAGACGACTGGGCCACCCGTGCCCCCAATTGTCCAGTAATAGACCTCGTTTTCGACAGATGTCAAATGAATTTATAAGTCAATCGATGACACACGCAGGCACATGTTACGATATACAAAAGGTTCATTATCTTGAAGACTTCAAAATAGCTGTGTCTTTTCCCGTGGATGCGACAGTGTGCAGCGCGCTTACTACTTAGTGGATAGAAATGTGGTATTGCCATAAAAGGAAAGAAATAGCGGACTTCACGTTTGAATAAGGAATAGGTACTAGCTAACTTCACATTGAATAAGGAATAGGTGGTTAACTTCATGTTTGAATAAGAAATAGGTGGCCAACTTCAGGTTTGAGTAAGGAATAGGTGGCCAACTTCACGTTTGAGTAAGGAATAGGTAGCTAACTTCATGTTTGAATAAGGAATCGGTAGCTAACTTCACGTTGAATAAGGAATAGGTAGCTAACTTCGCGTTTGAATAAGGAATAGGTAGCCAACTTCAGGTTTGAGTAAGGAATAGGAGGCCAACTTCACGTTTGAGTAAGGAATAGGTGGCCAACTTCACGTTTGAGTAAGGAATAGGTAGCTAACTTCATGTTTGAATAAGGAATAGGTAGCTAACTTCAGGTTTGAGTAAGGAATAGGTAGCTAACTTCGCGTTTGAATAAGGAATAGGTGGCCAACTTCACGTTTGAGTAAGGAATAGGTAGCTAACTTCATGTTTGAATAAGGAATCGGTAGCTAACTTCACGTTGAATAAGGAATAGGTAGCTAACTTCACGTTGAATAAGGAATAGGTAGCTAACTTCACGTTAAATAAGGAATAGGTGGCCAACTTCACGTTTGAGTAAGGAATAGGTAGCTAACTTCATGTTTGAGTAAGGAATAGGTGGCTAACTTCACGTTGAATAAGGAATAGGTGGCTAACTTCACGTTGAACAAGGAATAGGTAGCTAACTTCACGTTGAACAAGGAATAGGTGGCAAACTTCAAGGAATATGTGGTTAACTTCACGTTTAGATAAGGAAAAGGGAATACGAAGCTAATTTCTGGGACCAATAATTGATTGTATGTATGTTGACAATCCCAACAAGGATCTACGGCTCTGACAGTACAAGTTGAACTAGAGTCCCGTGATTCTGTGTTGCAGATGCGTGCTCTGTTCGTCTTCTTCCTGGTCTTCATTCTAGCGGCGCCGTCGTCGTCATTCTTCTTTCGCCTTCCCTTTCGCCGTCGCCATCGTCGAGGTGTCGTCATTATAAGTCACCCGTACCCGGGGTACCCGTACCCAGGGTACCCGTACCGCCGCCGGCGCCGCATCTGGGGAAGAGGTAAGGAGTGAGTGAGTGAGTGAGTTTGGTTTAACGCCGCTTTTAACAGTATTCCAGTGATATCACGGCGTGTCAGCTTAATGTGTGAGGAAAGCCTGAAGTGATGCAGGTCTCAAACGTTTACCACTTCGGTGAAAACCACGAGCACGGGTATGGTGCTGACAAACCTAGATACATAATCGGGGCGAATCGGGATTCGAACCCCAAATCATAGGTTTCTAGCGTGCCCAAAGGACGCAACTCTGCACAGCGAATCGCGGCCCCTTAGACGACTGGGCCACCCGTGCCCCCTCAAGGGGTAAGGAAATACATCACATTCATTAGACTTTGCGGGACCCGCTGGTGGGTTTGAAACCAGGTCTGTGCCTAGGTCTGTCAGTATCCATCCTCCACAGGAAAGCGTGTCAGCTAGACTATATCAAAGCCTAGTTTCCACCCTGGCCACATCAAGGCTGCTTTTCTTGGCTCGACCCATGTTTCACAGGGGGCACTACATAACGACCCGGGTAATACTTGTGTGTTAAGATACATAATCTATCTTTTTGTATATAGTTAATGAAAGTAAAAATATACTTAAAGAAAAAGAAGAAGAAAAAAAGAAAACATTTATTTATTGAGATGTCAAGGACAATTACGTCGGGTTACATTGAAGTTGGTGGAAAGCATCCGGCCCCGTGAACCTATGAGTCATGAGTTCTCATTAAATTACTATACTGAAATAATAAAACAGCATTTAAGATCACGTAATAATTCATCGTCATGTGAATGAATGCCCCTCCCTCCCCCTCCCCACAACGCTGCTACCGCCCTGAGATGACTAGAATGTTCAGTTGAAAAAAAAGCGCTCGAGTGACCGGTGAAGATCCGGGGTAGGATAGGTCTTCAGAAACCATGCTTACAGTAAAAGGCGACTATGCCTTCGCTGGAGGCGACTAACGGGATCGGGTGGTCAGGCTCGCTGACTTGGTTGATGCATGCCATCGAATCTTCATTGCGTGGATCGATGCGCTTGATGTCAGTCACTGGATTGTCTGGTCCAGACTCGATTATTTTACAGACCGCCGCCATATAGCTGGAATATTGCTGAGTGCGGCGTTAAGCAACAAACCAACAACTTATGCTTATGTTTATGACACATTTATTGTTTTTTACCTATGTTCCCATTATTGGTTAAATAGCCTTTGACAATGTGATTACATACTGGTGCAGCATGGCTGAGAAAATGTCGTCATATTTTTCCGTGACGTCAAACATTAATGCGATTTCATAGGAACAAGAACTGTTTTACTGTGCAGCCATTGCTCCTGTTTTCATTATTGTCTTCCTGATACAATCATTGTGTTTCATAAATCCTTGTTTTACAAATAGTTCACCTTGGGTAGTGTTTCCGTAACGAGTCAAAGGTGCACCTTATGTTCAACATGTTGTTTACAAAACGGATGTGTTTCTATGTGACAGATGTGGTTGACGACGACCAGGACGAGGCCGTGAAGCAATACGAAAACAGAAACTTCATTGCGGAACGAAACGCCGATTTTCCTGGTAAGGGCACTAGGTTTAAGAAGGTTCTCACAGTGCTGGTCAAATGTCAAGAAATTAACTTATTTAATAAGATGTTTTGTGTGTTTGTTGTTTGACGCCGACCTCAGCAATATTCAAGCTATATGACAGTGGTCAGTACGTAATAGAATCTGGCTGATTATTCTCCGAAACAGAATTTATTTGGCGTGAAAGGCAAAATAGCTTTAATTTATATGAATGGAGCAACGAAAATCGGTGACGACGCCAGGTGTTCGAGAAAAAGGTAAACATTTCCTGCCCTACCGGGAGCACCCGCCATTTGCATAATTTGCATAAAAAGTAAGTATTTATTTATTGCATGACGTCGTACAGCAGAACTGCCATGCGACGGCGGTTGTAAACAAACCAGACAATCAAGTGATCGATGGACAATACAATCCAGTGACACGATAGTGCATTTACTGATTAAGTTGAAACTAAATAATGATCTCCCGATCCAGTGAGGTGCTTTAACGTTTGTTTTTGTTTGTTTGTTTGTTGTTTAACGCCGCACTCAGCAATATTCCAGCTATATGACGGCGGTCTGTAAAATAATCTTGTCTGGACCAGACAATCCAGTAATTGACATCATGAGCATCGCACGCAATTGGGATCGATGACATTGATCAACCAAGTCAGCGAGCCTGACCACCCGATCCCGAGTGTCGCCTTTCACGACAAGCATAGTCGCCTTTTACGGCAAGTATGGGTTGCTGAAGACCTATTCTACCCCGGAATCTTCACAGGTCAGGTGCCTTAACGAGAAGCATAGGTGTCCTAACCTAACTCCAACCCAGACTCCGTTGGGGATCAGTAAACAATGGCTCAACATTGGAGGAGAGGTGAGGCGAAATTAGGTTTAACGTCGCATCCAAGAATATTGCACTTATATAGCGACGTGCATTCATGCGTGCGTGTGTGTGCGTGCGCGTGTGTGTCTGCTTGCTCTAGTCCGGACTAATGCCGATTTTATAGAGGTAGCCCACTGAGATATCATGCCGCAGTTTAACATGAATAAACAACTCAGACACAGTATACTGCTCTATCACTAGACGGTCGGCACAACATGTAATAACTTGCAGAAATGTTATTCATTCACAAATCTCCTCCTTTTCAGACGCAGATGAATAAGGCGGAGAACACACACAGAAGTCTGTATTCAACAGCCATTGTTTCCGCCACAGTGAAATAAAATACATAACACAGATCTAAGTGTAATATATGAAAGGTTTAAGCTATATACACGCATTGCATCAATGTAAAAGCGAATAATTGTAAAATATGTACAGTGGATTTCGAGAAAAATTATACTTTGTGTCATGAGTCCAACGCATCAGCAAACAAAAATTGCAATTGTTTAACCTTTCCTCCATCGTATCCTGTCCATGGTTACACCCAACCTGTCATGATAAACACGTGCATGACGTGCGGTTGTAAACAAGTAGAGCGGCGTTCTCTGTGGCTCGTTGTCCGAGACAAATCGCATACAAACTCAATTTAATGGTCATTATCACTATCAACTGTGGACAAAAATCTATCACAACTAAAAAATGAAGTGGGTAAGTCAATAGTGTGAGCTAGATCACAGCTGTATGACAGTGTCCTGGTTGGACAAGACAACCAGTAGTTGTCGGGGTAAAATTGCATGATATTAACCGGCATCCATATTGTAACCAATGGACCCTAAGTTTAATCGACAGGCACATGTGAAGTTTCTAACTGACATTCAGGTTCATTTCCCACTTATCCACTGACAGTGTAATAAAAGCGTCAAATCCATGGCCATATCCAATAGGAATCTCTGCATAAATCGATTGCACGATTCCGAGTATCATTAGCGTGTGTTTATGAATCACTAAATCACTATCAAATAGTAATGATACCAGGTTTACGCGAAAAGGTGAGCGTATCCTGCCCCACCGGTGGCACCCGTCACACGTCAAGTTCAACTACACTACACAAAGTATTGACAACCCTTGACAATACCCCACACCCCTGATAATAGGATCCAGTCACAATGACTAACAGGAAACGTTGCGATCTGTCGTTCTGCAGGTGACGCCGTTACACCAGTAGACTTTTACAGTCCAGCTTTTCCCTAATTGTGGGAAGTTTGCTCTGTTCATTTTATAGTCAAAGTCAATTATTAAATAATACGTTCATACGTGACAGAAGTGTCCTTCGAAGACCAGAACGAGGATGTAGTTATTGGGTGATACGGAAAAAACTCAAATACGTTTCCTGGTGATAGTCATGTTATCCTTTTAAGTAGGACACATTCAAACAATGCAATAATACAACGCTATCGCACGAAATAAAATAAAAATAGATTGTGAAAATGGACCACACTCTGCAAATTAACTCCATAAACACCGACATCAAAATATATAGTTACTTTCTTTGTGAACGTTACAATATTACCGGCATGTTGTCAATGGAACAAAATGAATTCTCATGACATTCAGAAATGTTACTGGGCAATAAGCTATAATAACACTCATGTGTCGAAGAATATGTGGACAAATAATGGAATGTATTAACAGAAGTTGGTTTCAATGTCTCGAGAACTGGTATTATGAAGTATTTTTCTTATCTCGAAATGACTAGACAATCCAAAAGGTATTTGATATGTTCATTTTATTTCCTTAATCGTGAAACTATGTTGTCTCAAAACTGGAACATGTGGCAAAAGTCAAAATAGGGATTTGTATCGGACATTGTTTCTGGCACTGATGCGTTACATTTGGAAGCACGCCATCAACATCTCTACCACAGAACGCTTTGAAAGCTTTACTTTGTCTTTCAATGGTGTAACCTTAATCAAACATATGCTAAGCAAGAGTAGTATGACGCTCTTTGAAATGAAAATGAAACCTCATAACACAACATACAAATGTAAAACCATAAGCTATTTACAACGACATCTTCTCTCATCATTATGAGATGCCGCCATTGAAAACTTTTATCTTCATAGCAAAATATTAATCATTACAAAGAAATGATTTCTTAAACGTGTGTACCATACGTTACAACAAACAAGAAGCGGGTGGGCAGCCTAGTAGTTAAAGCGTTCGCTCGTCACGCCGAAGACCCGGGTTCGATTCCCGACATGGGAACAATGTGTGAAGCCCATTTCTGGTGTCCCCCGCCTTGATATTGCTGCAATATTGCTAAAAGCGGCGTAAAACCATACTCACTCACTTACAACAAACAAAAGTGTCAGTTACATTCGTTTGTGATTCTTCCTTGTTTTCAGACTTCAACTTATCGATCTCTTCACACTGTCACGATCCTAAGAGAATGCTTTCCTATGACCTCGTCAGCAGTATTTAAGGTTGTGGATGCTTTTTGATAATCAGGGCAAAGTCACCGATATTAACCAGTGATTGACAAGAAGACCAACAATCCATGTCACTGGGTTACGAGTTTGTATAATGAAGCTCAGCCAAATTAAACATCGAATTCAACCGATCCCATCTACGCCGGCTTGTACGACGACCATAACCTTCTAGTACACCCGCAGGGGAAGGCGAGACCTCCCAGACCCAATGAATATGAGTGTGTGGGCCAAATCTTTGCAGGGTTTAATTGTATGCTGTGGTATATCACCTGCGTCTCTGTGCAACATCAACACAACTCTGTCCACCAGTTCTTGAAATCTTTTAGTCCATAAACTTTATTTACAGTTCCCCATTCTAATCCATGTTTTATTCCTCGTTTCTCAAAGCTTGACACAGATGTTCCCAAAAGGTACTGTCATTCCCCATATGTGGGTATTCGATGTACGTGTTGTTCTGAATGTGATACAGTATTTCAGGCGGTACGTCTTTGGTTGCAACATCTTCATACATCACAATGACCAACACATCCCTCCCAGTAGAAACCCCTTCCATGTTGGCCATATTTACTTCATACATGCACCAATTGCTCTTCACGAAGTCCTTGGACAACACTAGCACAGCACGGCGACTTTTCTGGATGGCATCAATGATGTTCTCTGCAATAGGATTCCCAGGCATGAAGTCACGGTGATGTATGTTTAGTCTTATGCCCTCTGCTTCCAATTTGGGCATCATCATTGTCAAAACAAACTCCCGGTTTTCATCAGCATAAGATATAAAGGCATCGAATTCAAACGACTGCCTAGATTCTGGCAGCTTCATGACTCGTATTTTTGCAACATAGTAAAGATATCTAAGTTTCCACCTGTAGCGGTAAAGTACTGAACAGCACATCAGACAAACAACGAAAAATGTCGCAAACAAAATCCACACCAACCTCCAAACTGCCTGGCTACACGAAACTCTGAAATTTTCGATAAGCACATGCGGTTTCTTCATTTGAATTTGAATGTCTTCGTTATTATAACATTTATAATTGGCAAAGTTTAAGATCCGTACGTTTGATGTTGATAGCCATTCAAGAAATACTATATTCGAGCATCTGCAGAGAAGAGGATTGCCAGTTAAGTCGATGCTGGTGTTAACATTAACATGCTGAGCCGCCAACATGTCGAGTTGATGTCTGAGACCCTGATAGATGTACCAAATTTGATTGTGTGAAAAGTTAATAAATTGCAAATGTTGGTTATATGTTAAATTCAGTTCTATCTCTGGAAGAGCATTGAAAGATAAATTTAATTCTTGAAGACTATGGAGGCCTTGAAATATATTGTAAGGTAAACGATGAAGGAATTGCCTAGATAGGTCGAGATACTTCAGATTCGTCAAACTGCCAAATATTTGACCCTTCTTGTCATGCGTGATGCATCTATCGAGGGAATTTCCTGAAAGGTTTAAGGTTTCTAATGTTGTCAAATTCTCGAAGAAATGATATGACACATTACTGGCTACGTTTTGTGCCAGATCCAAAACTTTCAAATGATTCAAACCAATTATTGGTCCCTGCCAATTGACCATGACGTTATACGAAAGATCAAGATGTTCTAATTTGTTTTCATCAAAATGGATCTCTGAAAGTGTTATAGAGGATTCGGCAAAGGCATAACTTACAAACGTTAAATTAGGTGGAATTCGAAGGGGTTTTCTTTGGCTGGATGTCAATACCTTTGACCTCAATGGCATACTGATTTCAAATGTTTGTTCAGAGGATGACCAGTTCCTATCTTCATAATCACAAGTCTCGCTACGGCTACAGTGGTAATCCTCAACAGCAGAGAGGTCATCAGCAATGGGTATGACTTCAGACAGGTCTCGCACATGTCCACCCAGAAAAATATGCTTCAGACCCGTCATGTTGTGAATGGATAATACGTACTGGGCATATGCAAAATTATTCAAGCGAACACTGACATATTGCAATGATTTAGGAAGAAGATTTAGAGTTCGACTTCCAAAACTAACTATGCTGTTTCCATCTGCCTCGAGTGTTTCCAGGGAAGTGTTCTCAAGATGCATCAAATGTCGATCTTGCACTGTCACACAGAGTGTATTGCGAGGAACAATGTTGTTAATGAACAATTCTGTTATGGTTGAGCTTCCAAGACCCTGTGTTGCATTTTCTAATCCTTCAAATCCGAGTCTCCAATTCCATGAGAGGTCTAGTGTTGTAATATTCTGCAGGCGAGAGAGTGAACCAGGTTCTATTGACTGTACATTACAGAAGGACACATTCAGATGAATTAGGGAAGTTAAATTCGAAAACGTATCCAAAGATATAATCTGTAGATTATTATGAGATATATTTAAATATCTCAGCATTGGAAAGCCATTAAAAAGCACGCCGACTCCTTCTTGTCCAAGATTGTTGTGTGAGAAGTCCAGAGTCGTCAGATTGGTAAACGTTTGGAAATATGTTTCGGGGAAGGATGAAATGTTGTTATGTGACAGATCTAAGACACATGTTAAGTTTGGTAAATGCTGTGGGACGTCAGTCAAACTTCTGCTGGAGCAGTTAACGTAGTAGCACTGATTCGTCCATGTCTCATTGCAGACATCAGGCTCTGAGCCGAGAGTTGCAGTGGATGACTGCATGCTCGTAGTGCTGTTAACACACAGGGCAAATGCAAAGAAGAAGCTTGAGGTTGGCATTCTTCTTTCCTGAAAGTAGATTGACATGAATAAAATATACGAGAAACGATGTACATGAATTTATCATTACGCGTCATGAAAAGTAGCCGTTATGAACAACCGAATCCACCTCATCCTATAAAAAAACTACATGTACCCATTTTACAGCCTAGTATGAGTATAACACCGCGTCATCTTACCACATGAAACAACACGAACCAAAGCCACATTCCACAATTCCATGTGTTTCTGCATCTCGACTTACTACACCTGATACCCGTGAGGATCCGGGTTAGAACTGATCTTCAGCAATCTATGCTTGTCGTAAGGGGTGGGTGGTCAGGCTCGCTGACTTTGTTGATGCATGTCATCGTATCACAATTGCATGCATTGATGCTCTTGATGTCAATTACTGGATTGTCTGGTCAAGACTCGATTATTTACAGACCGCGCTCATAGATCGGGGATATTAGTGAGTGCGGTGTTAACAGTTCCCTATCTTCAAGTAGGGGTAGTGGGTGGTCGTGTAAGGCAACGCAATTAGCTGTGCAGAGTTGCGTTCCTTGGGCACGCCGAAAAGCTATGATTGAGGGTACGAATCTCGTTTCGCACAGATTTTGTTTCTGGGTTTGTTAGCACCATACCCATGCTTGTGGGTTTCATCGTAGTGGTAAACGTATGAGACCTGCATCACTTTCCTCATACATAAAGCTGACACGCCGTGATACAACGGAAATACAGTTCCGAGCGGCGTTGAAACTCACTCACTCACTCACTCTAACTACGGTCACCGTATGTGTGACTTTGACTGCTACACAGAGCTTCGATGGGGGGACTTTTGACCTCCATCGCTGAGCACAATAAAATATCTTATCCGGTCCGGTTTCCACTCCATAAAGAAATATATTGTTGCAAATCTATAATATACTTAAGGTATTGAATAAGGGAACACTTAGTTGTAAACAAAGTAAAATGATATGCTGTCGTCGGTTCCCAGACTTGTCTACAAAATACTGGAAACAATGCACACAAACACATCCGAATTTGTATGCGAGCTATTTGAAATGTACTGAAAGTGAAGCTTACTTCCCTATATGTTTCATTGTCCCATGATCATGCGTTTCCATCTGTATAGAAGTATTCGGAGGTGAATCATGTTGCATTTGTCGTTAGATCACGCCCCATGCACCTACCCCTGCAGAAGCGTATAAAGTGCGACGAGATTCAGATAGGGGATATTTCAGGAAAACTCTTCCTTGTTGACCGTGCATCTTGTTTATCTGCCTTAGCAATCTTTAAGTAAAGCTTTGTGAAACCGAATGATGATAAAACACCCGTGTTGACCAGAGACTTACCTTGAGTTGACAACACGTCTATCCACGACGGATGAGTACACAGAGTGCACAAGTCGTCGCCGATCTATTGGCACGATAATATCACTTTTTGTTTCCTCCTTTGCCGAAAAGGTCGAGGAAATTAAAGCCCAATCATATTCAAACACAAAAGCAGCTGGGTCAAACTCTAGTAGGGGGTTGTATTTCTGTCTAAAACTTCCTGGTAAATAAAATATTGCGACTCGCGTTATCAAACTCTTCGGGTTGATTTGTTAATTTCAACAAAATAAACTTCTATGGTGTAACACAATGTAACACAATGTAGTCTTGTCGTGAACACCGTATTTCCTTGACAAGAAGCTCGGGCGTATATTTTTTCAAACACTCTTTACTCCCGGCGTTTTATCACACGGATAATAATGGGGGGAATTCCGTACATAAGAACCAGTCGGCGTTTTTTCGATGCTCTGCGTTTAATCTGGACCCCAGCGTGTATTCAAGTCAAGTGCATTTAATCGAGGAAATACGGTATACACGTAAACATTTACTGCCTAGATAATATTACCTACTAAACCTGTATACATCTGTTTGTGAATATTTATTTTGGTTAAAACACGCACTTAGCAATATTCCATCTATATGACGGCGGCCTCATATTTGAGGTACTATTAATACCTTTATACAACCTCAAATATTTTGAATAAGATGTGAGGTACTCCAGTCAAATATCATTTTCTCAAATATTGTAAAGTGAACACATTGTCCCTTGCAAACTTATTTTCCTTTAGTCGCAACTGCCTCCGAGAAGTAGTGGCTAAAGTGTTTGTCCATGGAGCGGACGTTCGGTCCGTGGTTCGATACCCGGCCGGATGTAAAATGTCTGTTCTATTCTGTTGCATGAGTTTCACACACTGCACCCGGTTAAGCAGTGTTCGAAATACCTGCCTGCCCGACCGTCCGAGACGGGTTGATTTCAACTCGGGCTGCCAGATTTTCAAATCCCCCTGCCCGACGGTCGGGTTACATTTCATATGTAAAAATATTCTAAATATTTCCCGATGATAAGCATTATTTACATGATGTATTCTAGGATATTAAATACAAATCTGACCTAAAAAGTGTTTGCTATTTCTTTTCTTGCATTACTTCATGTTCAATGAATTCGATTTAAAGTTTTAATTAAATTATCCTGAGAAACATATGATTATAGTGGGCAGGCAGGTTTTGGTCAGGGCTGGCAAGTATTTCAGCTAGCCAGTCCTGTGGTCTGGCTGAAAATTTTGGGAGTTTCATACCCTTGGTTAAGGTGTTGGCATAGTTTTGTATTTGGTTTTATTTTCGACCAGTGAGAATAGGTCTTATGCTTGTCCTAAGTGGCGACTTACGGGATCAGGTGGTCAGACTCGCTGATACATGTCATTGTATCCCAACTACGTGGATCGATGCTCATTATGTCAGTCATTGGATTGTCTTGCCCACACTCGATTATTTACAGCTGGAATACTGCTTAATGCGGCGTTAAACAACAAACAAACAAGCAAATAAACAGCATAGTTGTTTTTAGAAATACCAGGAGATGAAGTGCCTCGTCCAGCCTTTACGCCCACAAAATACTTGTTTGCAGAACATGCCTGACGACATGAAATATGTGTTGTAGCCTTCGAAGTGCAGTGGATAAAGCGTTTCCCGGAAGGTGGAAGGTCGGTGGTTCGATCCCCGGCCTCGTCATAGGGAAAGACGTTAAAAGATGGTATTTGTTGTAATCCTGCCTGGCGCTCGGCAGCGCGACGTTAAACGCCAGTACGTCTCACCTCATGGATTCTTCGATTCCATGTCTCGCTGGGTTTCATGGAAGTGGTAAACTGTCTAACATCTCCATTCTATTATAATAAATACCCCGGACCCATCCATCTCTCTTATCGCGCACCTAGCACTGATATTTCTCTCGTTTATTTGTGTAATTTGATTGTACAGCTATTTTGGCGTCATGTAATTCGGGCTAAAACGAAGCTATTCTGGCGAAAGGGTCCGATGGTATTATCAACCACAGAATGAAATGCACTGAATATTTTACCATGACATTGAAGAATACTTGTTTCTTATTGCTCAAAATAGGATTAAAATCAGGTATCTAATACCGTTCGAAAACTTGCGCATGAAAATATTCTATCGATTATCCATTTGAATTTCATGCGTTTTATGGGAACGTCATCAGAATGTTTTTGTCACTCACCGGTACACTGCACAAGCACTTAGTCCCAACAGATGATCAACTATAATGAAATCTATTTCAGAATACATAATGTTTAAGTAAATCACACTAACCACTGTGAAAAATTTCCGTAGTCTCTCACGTCGTTCAAGGACGGCTCGTCTTCAGCTAAAAACGTGCGGTATTCAGCCATACTACAGGTTGTTTCCGTTGGCAATGGTTGTGCCCGAAGGCTCATTTCCTCCAGTAGATATTCAGATTAATGTTGACTACAGATCGAGATTATCCTCTGGGTTCTAGCAATTAGTAAAAAGCACTGTCACCGTGAACAACTGAAGAGTAATCCTTGTTCAGTCAGGTCGAGTGAGTATTATTTTACGCCGCTTTACGCAATATTCCAGCAATATCAAGGCGGGGGACACCAGAAATGGGCTTTACCCATTGTAACCATGTCGGGAATTTCGGCGTGACGAGCGAACGCTTTAACTACTAGTCTACCCGACCGCCCCTCATCCAGGTCGAAGTTCCGGTTGAAAGAGCTAGTCACTCTCAATACATATTACTGTTAGGAAGTTATTTCTAACAAGACCGCCTCCGTGGTCTAATGGTAGAGCGTCCGCCCGGAGAGCGGAAGGTTCGGGGTTCGATCCCCGGCCGCGTCATACTAAAAGACGTTAAAAGATGGTACTTGTTGTTACCCTGTCTGGCGCTCGGCATTAAGGGGCTAAAACAAGGACTGGTCGGCTCGGAGTCAGTATACTGTGTCTGAGTGGGGTATTCATGTTAAACTGCGGCATGGTATCTCAGTGTGCTAGCACTATAAATCGGCATCAGTCCGGACTAGTACAAGCAGCCACACACACACACACACGTACATGCACGTCGCTATATAAGTGCAATAACCTTGGACGCGACGTTAAACCCCATTTCACCTCACCTATTTCTAACAAACTGGTACATAAGTAGTGTAGCTGCAAAATAAGAAATGACTTGATTCAGAGCAAGCAGTGTTTCGCAACATGTTTCGATAAAATTAATCACATAGGGTGGAGGGTTAACTCTTTTCGAAAAACTATGTGTTTTGTACCCGTTACTTTAAACTAGTCAAGAATATAAGTAATTAGTTTTGAACTTGAATAATGTCTTTTCTGTTTGTCACTACCTGTGACCTCTTTCCTTGTGACACGTTCTAATGTAGCTGGCCTCTTTGCCCATGTGTAAATGCGCGTTCCAAGAGAGCCCGGTTTTTGAAAGCGCTCGTGTCGTCACGGTAGAATGGGGATAGACCTAAAGTGTTTTGAAATTTGAAGTAGTTTAATTGTAGATCAGATACCTCATACTTATACATTTGAATATGTTGACACGCACCATTGATGCGAATATTTTCACACTCACCATTATGGGAATATGTTGACATGCACCATCAATTCGAATATGTTTTCAGGCAGCTTTAATGCATTATTAATGAAAATGTACGTATCTTTACACGCACAATTAATGAGAATATATTGACAAGTACCATTGATGCTGAAAATAGCCCAATCAGCACTAAAAATAAAACGTCAACGCCAGAGAACAACCAGCCTCGATTATCTGCCCAAACAGACTCCGTTGGGCGTAATAGGCAAAATACTGATGAAAATTATATGAAAAGATCACTGACATCAGTGATGACACCAAGTGTTTGCGAAAAGTAAAATCATGTCCTGCACCACCGGTAATTATAGAAACAGAAAAGTGATAAAAAAATACACGTGATCCAGTTCAAAAAGATCTGATAGTTTATGACTTTCATATTCTATTCACAAATGGAAACTGAAGGCAACATAAACCTCCAACATAAAACCATAAATGTTGTTGTCGTGAACATACTTTCAGTTTTAACCGAGCGTCTTTCTGTATTGTAAATAAGATACTTAAAAAAAACATTAAAAAATAAGCGGAACTCAAAACCGTGCGGTCCCAGTAATTTTGCTGCACTCCGTTTTCATGTGTATTTTTAAAGGCCTTGTCGCAGTCTTGTTGTTACTTGTTATATTTTGATTCCTGAAAAACATTTCGTTTATATGAAGTATGGAGGCAGAGATATTATATACTTCAAAATGACATCTAGCAATTGGGAGTATTATACCACATCATTGTCTTAGCCATTATAAGGGGGCACTGTTGGCCCACTCGTAAAAGGCGCCGCAATTCGCTGTGCAGAGTTGCGTCCCTTGGGCACGCCAGAAACCTGTGGTTGTCGGTTCGATCCCGATTTGCCCCGATAATGTTTCTAGGTTTGCACCACTCTCTATGAACGGTAATGTTGATGTTGCGTAAGTAAATTGGCTCTCATTCCACCTTCTTCCGGCAATCAATCAATCTTTATTGTATGAAAGGCCATTGGCCCATATACACATACAGATAAACAATATCATTTACAGCTGTACAGCGCATTATATAATTATTGGATAACTAATATGATGCTTGACATGTAATAGATATATTGTAATAACAGTGGTAATAACCACAGTGGCAGCAGTAGTAGTATAAAATACAAAAGGAACGGAATGGAAATATGAAGTTTTACGTCGCAAAGGCTTTCAGCCATAGCACGACGTTCAATACAAAAGGATCTATCAGTAATATACTCATCATGTCATGACAATTTGACAATTTAAATGTATACGCATTTCTAGTAGAAACAAACAGACAACAATGAAATGTAGATACTCCTGATCTAGATGCGAAAGTTTCAAAACAACTAATCTTACGGCTGGTGACACCAGGCATAGGCGTCGTACCCATGTAAGGAATCGATCCCGGGCCTTCGGCGTGAAGAGCGAATGCATTAACCACTAGGCTACCCACACCGCCCCGTTCACGTTGACAGAAGTAAAGCACAATATATACTACTAAAACAAGTTAAGAACCGCCCGATTCGTTCATATTACTGTAGTTAATCTGCCATGGCATGACGGATTAACTATAGGAATGTGTGAGAATCGGGTGGTCCTTAACATGTTTTAACTTTATAGTAATCACTGCACGTACATGACATTTAGCTGTTCAGCTATTTTATTTCCTGGCAAAGCGGAGACATTCATCACAGGCATTTGAGGACCCATGCTTGGCCACACCACGTCTTGTGCGGATCTTTGTAGTAGAACCTCCCGAACGTCCGCACTGCCAGGTAGTAAAGATTGGCCCATAGTTTACACGAAAAGTTGCTGCACTCTGCTTTCATGTTTGTTTTGAAGGCCTTATCGCATTCTTCTTGTGACTTGAAATATTTCGATCCCTGAAAAATGTTGATTTTATATGTACGCATGGAGGTAATACAAATATTGTATACTAATTACTTTAATATAACATCTGACAACGGGGCGTATTATACCGCAACGTTGAAGTTGCCGTTATGACGATTATAATACAACAGGAAGATGAGAGGACAGGGTTTATACAATACGATACAAAGCAATATAGTTCGGGAAAATGAGAGTGCAGTGCTTGTACAACACAATATAAAACAATATTGTTCAGGACGTTCAACGTTTTTCAGGAAACTGAAAGATTAGGGTTTATACAGTACAAAACAATATAGTTCGAGAGAGCAGGGATGAACGATACACGTTAATAGTTAAATAGAGATTCTCACCGAGTGTGTTCTGATAACAAATATACCAACACGAGTCGATAAAAGTGAAAAACTCCGAGGTTTGCTGAGGAGTATTAACATGATTAAACCTTTATCGACGAGTGTCGAAATTTTATATCTCAAAAGGCACGAGGGTGTTATTTTATTTATCATCCAAAACTGGCTCCCAAAGGAGATATCGCTTGGATGAGATCAAGCGATATCTACACCGTAGATATCGCTGCAATGAAATTACATCACAATGCTTTGCAGACCATTGTGACGTCACTGGTTACCATAACATCACAATCAAATGACATCACTAATGGCTCTGATACTGAAGCTGTTAGCAGTACTTTTTACACTGAAGACACTGCTAATTACTGTCTACAAATTGAAAAAGTTGGAAGAATGAGTGGTATTGTCCTGCGTGGTCTTCATCAGTATCAGTTTCTTGGGTCCATGGAACATGATACTGACCTCATGAATGGTCAGTAATTGACAATTAAAGGAGAGTGGTCTCGTATGGCGTCTATACAATATATCTCAGCATTTGGTACATATCAAGTTTGGACCCGTGAAGATCGGGGTAGAATACGTCTTCAGCAACCCATGCTTGCCGTAAAAAGCTACTATGCTTGTTGTAAGAGGCGACTAACGGGACCGAGTGGTCAGACTCGCTGACTTGCTTGATGCATGTCATCGTATCCCAATTGCGTCGATCGATGCTCATGTTGTCCAGACTCGTTTATTAAAACAGCCGTGATATAGCTGGAATATTGCTTAGTGCGGCGTTCAATAATAAACAAACAAACATATCAAGTTTGAAACTATTAATTCGGTCTACCTACACACGCATAGCATACATCGTGCCTGTTACAGGACGATGTGAAGGTGGATTGGTAGGGCACCCACTTGAACAACGTCGTACAGCCGTTGACGTCGCCACCGACGCATTTGTCGCCACTGGAGACAGGGCTTGTTAGTGCAGCATACACAACAGCCATGGCCGTCAGGCTTTTCATGCTGAAACACAGAATGTTGAAATATTAGGAGAGCAATGCGACTCGCAAAGTATACATGTTATATATACGTACTGTCACGTGATGAGGTGCGATTGTAACGTGAGTATTGGTATGTACTGCTTTTATATTTGAATGGATTTCTTAAGTGTTGGTAATCGGCCCACGTGCAGATATATATATGGACATATTAATTTCTTGGGCAATACTAAAACCTGATTGCTGTTCATGGGACCGAAAGCTTGGTTGGTTGATTTGTTGTTTACGCCGCACAATCCAGTGATTAATAACATGAGCATCGATCCACGTAATTGGGATCAATGACATGCATCAACCAAGTCAGCGAGCCTGACCACCCGATCCCGTTAGTCGCCGCTTACGACAAGCACAGTCGCCTTCAATCTCATTAAAATCAGATCTTAGTTCTCGCTACCGCTAGCGGTAGCGAGAACTAAGATCTGATTTTAATGAGATTGAGTCGCCTTTTATGGCAAGTATGGGTTGCTGAAGACCTTTTCTACCCCGGATCACCGTTATACTTCCGTCGAACATATGACAGGCATTGAAAGCATATAAGCAACTTGGTAAGCTAACCTGAGGTGGGCATCACTAAAGAAAAAAAGCAAGCTTTGCAAGGCTTTCGCTCTATATCGCACGTCACCATTATGACGTCAAATCGCCCATTGTGACGCAAAAGATATGACGTCATAGTCGTATACAGAAAAGCGCCAATATTCCAAGCTCGCTGTTGTCTTCAAAACGTAATTACATTCCCTTTGTTGATTTCTATCGTGTTTTCTGAATGAATATGTATAATGCAACACATCCTTCGAAAATTGTAGTAACCGCATCTGTGTATTTTCTAACCTGTAATTATAGATATAATTATTTAGATATACCTACTGACTGACCTTATGACTGAAAATAGTACTATTCTATGAATATTAGCTTCCGCGGTGATGCGGCCCTCAGACCAGCTGTTTCAATCAGAGGGGGTTTATTGTGATTTAATAGCCTCTGATTGACCAATCTGAATTAAGTAAAATCCAAATTCATGGTAGAATTGTTTGAGGACCCGTAGAAAGAATGTTCTAGGGGAAAGATGCCAAGACAGTCTTGTCTTTCAACGTCGATAAAATATGTTTCCAGATTTGCGGGTGTAAATAAGGTATCAACATCCACATAGTGAGTTAGTGCGAAGGGTTTAACGCCGCTTTGAACAGTATCACGGTGTCGGCTTATGTGAACGGGGGGCTCAAAGGGATGCAGGTCCAAGACGTTTACCACTTCAATGAATCTACAATGACATGGATGGTATGGTGCTGACAAACTACGGACCATAATCAGTACGAATATGGAATCGAACCCACGATCAGATTACAGGGCTAAAAGGGCCCGTCAAACTCAAATGCATACGCCATGACCATTAGCAGGTAAGTAAGAGTGCTCCACCTACGATTTAACGAGTTTTGTAGATATGAGTCAGTGAGTACGCCTGCTTTAAGCAGTAGTTCAGTCATATGACGGCGTGTCTGGTTCATGTGGGAGAAACGCCCGGAGTGATGCAGACCTTAGACGTTTACCACTTTGGTGAAACCCATGTGCACGGGAATGGTGCTGACAAATAATAAAAATATAATCAATACTAATCTGGTATTCGAACCCACGATCATAGGTTTCTGGTACCCCGAAGGGCCGCAGCTCTTTACAACGAATTGCGGGGCCTTAGATGACTGTACTTACCGTTATGGTCAACTTTGGTAAACATGCATTAATGACTGAGTACATACAACAACCTTTACCTGATAGGTACATACGAGTATTAATGCTTACTTAATAAGTAAAGGTTTTAAATAATTCCACAACACGTTTGTTACTTTGCCATATTAAGATTTTAATAACGAAAATATCTTTTTTAACAATTCCATGACTGAATAAAACATTCAGGCTGATTATCGGCAACTGACGTCACCGCGATGCCGCAGATGTTATTTGTAGTCAATTGGAAAATATTTATGGCGTATGGAATTTGTTTATGAGTAGTTTATGCCCGTTTCAGTTACTTTTCTCAGTTGTTTATACGCGTTTGTTTACTTGCTGGTTAACGCCGCACCTGTCCTGCTATATAAACTCTGGGCCACATCAACCAGTGATTGGTGTAATGTGCAACGTCTCACGACGTCGGGGCATGATGACACGTCAACCACACACACGTGCAAGATCGTCACTCTCTTCAAAGTGTCGTTAAACCCCATTTCACCTCAACTCACCCGATAAGCCTAAGAAATATTGGTATACCGATAATACACCATGGAATATAAGCGTTAAATTTTCATTCGTTTATGATATTTAGAGGATATTACATGGCAGTTTTCATATCATACCCCCATATCATCCCGAGTTCCCATGTCAGCCTCAGCACTGATACGGGGGGACCAGTGAAGATTCCGGGGTAGAATAGGTGTTCAGCAACCCATGCTTGCCGTAAAAGGTGACTATGCTTGTCGTAAAGAACATGTTTAGTTTCCAAAACGCGGGTCCTATAGAAATTGAACCACATCCTGAAGTTAAAGGAAAAAGACTTGCTGACACACCTTGTAAAAGTAAATTTTGGTATAATACAATCTATAATGTGTTCCAAGTTGCTAATGAAGATGTTTTTAAATGGAAAGTTTTAAAGGACATGAGAATTGGAAACAAGTTTATGCAACTGCAATTCAAAATTCTACACTCAATCATTCCTTGTAATCAGTATTTAAATAGAATTAACATTAAAGAAAGTAATGTATGTGAACATTGTGGTACTATAGATACTATTAGACATTATATGTTTTACTGTTCAAATGTATTACCCTTTTGGATAGAATTCTTTAAGTGGGCGAAGGTTAATGTACATAATCAGATTTATGGTAATTACAGAGATATTGTTTTGTATGGTATAGAAGGAGGCACAGAGGAGAGTACTTTGATGAATTATTTAATACTGCAAGCAAAGTATATTGTGTACAGATGTAAAGTAACTGAAACCGATTGCCTTTTTAGAATATTTAAAAGAGAACTAGAAATACAATACAAAGTACTACAGTATAACAATGTTAATCTTGCAGAAAAAATTAAATGCGTACTGAATATTTAGATGAGTATTATTGCTTTAAGCAACTCAAACCCAAATATAAAAATATAAACCCTGGTATGCCAGTCCACGTGGCAATGTACAGGGACATGTAAAATCGTGGAAAATCAACATGAATAAATGATGTAAAAAAAAACAAACCAAAAAAAACAAAAAATGCTTGTCGTAACGGGATCGGGTGGTCAGGCTCGCTGACTTGGTTGATGCATGTCATCGATCCCAATTGCGTGGATCGATGCTCATGATATCAATCACTGGATTGTCTGGTCCAGACTCGATTATTTACAGACCGACGTCATATAGCTGAAATATTGCTGAGTGAGGCGTTAAACAATAAATCAACCAGATACGAGGGTCTCAAGTTGATGTTGGGTATGGTATGAAAACTGCCATATAATAAACATTTTATTTTCTTCCTCTATTACGAATCTTCAATTCCGTTGGTTAATCCGTACAACGTAACGAAACAATACGTTTAAATTTAGACCCCGAAATCATGTGACTGACACTGACCTCGAATATAGACTCGTCACATGATCAGCATAGACCATGCACGTGATGAATATTGACTCGTCTGCAGGAACACAAGATGGCGTCTGGTATACGAAAACTTCACGTTTCCTAGTTAAGTTATTGTTATGAACATAAGACAGATTAAAAACTTCATAAACTTTAAAGTGAATTTCGGTATAACAAAACGAATGATTATTCTTGACGAGGTCAGTGTACGAAAACAAGGACTCCCGTCCTCCGGTCCTTGTTATCGCATATTGACCTCGTAAAGAGTTATTATTTGAATAAAATACCAAAACATCGAATTGTGAAAAAGTATCTATTTGTATTTTTACCTTGTTAGTAAAACATTGTCACGGGCCAAGATCGACGAGCAGACGACGCACAAAGGGACGTAACTCCAATTTCTTGCCACTGAGCTGATATCGATCGCACTTTCAAAAGCCATGTCACCGCGGCAGGGTGTTATAGGGGTCTGGTTATGACAGCTCCTGTTATATAACCGCCTCTACGTTGCTTCTATCGCACGTGCGAAATGCCTCATGTGATCGATAGGTAAATGATATGATATATGGCGCGATGAACCCTGTGTTCAAGCCGACCATGGACCTGAGCCGGAATTCGAAGGTCGGGGTTGACATTGGACCGCGGCACATGCACACCGTACGTGACAGCATATACCCCGAGTGACCGGTTGACAACGATGTTATCATTTCTCCCGTTTATCTCGAATGTCTTCACCGGGACGGCAAGAGAAACGTTTCACGCTAGCAGACGACGTAAACACATGCACTACAAGATGTCCACAGATCTTTAGGGGTATACGGTGTGGTGTACCCGGTATGTGAGCCTATATACCACGAACAGACATTCATTCATGGGGAATATATGCCAACGAGTTAGCAAAAGTCGTTACGCTTTTATTGAGTAAAAAATACATAACGGGCAGACGACGCAAACGAACCGAGTTACTTCTCTTTATCCAATAATATATTCGGATAAACATCGGTTCATTTCGGAATCTCAAGGGTTACGAGCGGGATAACGAGATGTGTTCCGACTGATTTCTTAGCGGGCTGCAAGAATTTTGTACCCCGCGTGTGAGCAGGCTACATGGAAAATAATTGCCAGCTCCTTAACCAATCAGAAGCTGGTATATCAATGTACGGTAAGATACATGTACGGGTATTCTCGGTTAAGTTCGCTAACTTGCATTTGATAATAAGAACGGCATTTCCCAGTGGACTTTTATACCTTTTCAGTCAGCGGGGTACATAGAAAAATGCCCTTTTTTGTAGCTAATCAGAAAGGTGAGATCTTCATGTAAGGTGTGATAATTACTCATTCATGTATGGTAGTTCTATATACTTAGTGGATCCCTTGCTGTGGTTACACCAGACGATAAAATATGGTACTTGTTGTTAACCTGCCTGTCGCTCGACATTAAGGGGATGAAAGAATGACTGGTCGGCTTAGAGTTTTGGAGTATACTGTTTGAGTGGGGTATCAATGTTTACTTACGGTATGGTATCTTAGTGGGATAGCACGTTAAAACTAGCATTTGTTAGGACGCATGCACACACACACACGCACACACACACGCACACACACACAGACACACGCTGACTCTTACCTTTAATTGTACAGCCACAAGTAACACAGGTTTAGAAAATGTAGCACCTCCCGGTACAGCGTGGTCTTAAAAATAAAGACATGCCGTGCGTTATGATGAATATAGAAAGTGCGTTATGATGAATATAGAAAGTGCGTTATGGTGAATATAGAAAGTGCGTTATGATGAATATAGAAAGTGCGTTATGATGAATATAGAAAGTGCGTTATGATGAATGTAGAAAGTGCGTTATGATGAATATAGAAAGTGCGTTGTGATGAATATAGAAAGTGCGTTATGATGAATATAGAAAGTGCGTTATGATGAATATAACAAGAGGAAGCAAGTAAATCACATGGACGTTTTCGTGACTGATCTGGCGTCAATCAAGGATGTGTGCGTGTTTGTGGGTGTGCGTGTGTGTGACATTGCAGTTTATAAAGGACATCCTGCATGCATGTGACCAGGATATACCGTATGTGCATGTAGCAGTTGCCACAACAAATGTTTTACAAAATGTTTTTTAAAGAAAGGATATAAATGTGTTTAATAATACCAACTGACGATATTTGGGCAGCACTATGTCTACGTTGTTTAACGCAATGACGTCACTTGTTGATGAAAGACAGTGATGTTCCAGGGTTATGTCAGGAGAGAGTGAGTATGGTTTTACGACGCTCTCAGCAATAATCCTACAACGTCACGGTGAGCACACCAGTGATTGTACCAAAGTGGGGAATGGAACTTGGGCCTTCGGCTTGACGAACGAACTCTAACCCTTAGGCTACCGACCCGAAACGCGTGGACTAAGAGGAGAGATCGCTGCAAATGTTTCGTACATCATGACGGCTTTGGGAAAGTTTGGATGAAACTAACTGTCGAGGAACATAATGATGTCAGATTGTGTTGTGTAATGTTGCAGTCATTTTCCGGAGTTGAGCTTATTTGAGTTGAGTTGAGTTTGTTGAGTTAAGTTTGTAGAGTTGAGTTTAATTGAGTGAGCGTGTTGAGTTAAGTTGAGTTGAGGTTAGGTGAGTTTGTTAATTTGAGGTGAGGTGAGTTTGTTGAGGTGAGGTAAGGTGAGTTTGTTGAGGTGAGTTCGTTGGGTTGAGGTTAGGTGAGTTTGTTGAGTTGAGGTGAGTTGAGATGAGGTGAGTTTGTTGAGGTGAGGTGAGCTTAGGTGAGTTTGTTGAGGTGAGGTGAGTTTGTTGAGGTGAGGTGAGTTTGTTGAGTTGAGTGAGTAGAGTTAAGTTGAGGTGAGGTGAGGTGAGGTGAGTTTGTTGAGGTGAGGTGATGTGAGTTTGGTGTTGGGAAGTGTTGAATCCTGTGCTGCGTGTCTGCATATTTTCTGCTATGAGTCTAATGTGGTCAGTTACATGTTTTAGGTCGCACTCTGTGGCTAGTCCAAAGGCTCCCTTGGCTAGTTGTCCCAGCCAATGTAACAAACTACGCGTTTTCGTGTTCTCGATGTGATTCAGAGGTGTCAGGAATTAGATCATTCATTAATTTTACCGTGTTTTCTAAGTCAGCGTCGACGCGGGTGTGGACTGTATTTATAAAACTGAGTAGACGAAGAGTAGAGGGTAGTTTATAGACGGTCATGGCCCTGCCCGTATCTGTGCTGGTCACAATGACCAGCAGCACCCAGGCACAGAGACGTAAGTCGGTTATCATCCCGTGTAAAGATAAAGGTCGCTTAGGAAACCTACCGATATCCCTCTTATTATCATCTCTGATAGTGAGTGAGTGAGTGAGTGAGTGAGTATGGTTTTACATCGCTTTTAGCAATATTCCAGCAATATCACGGCGGGAACACCAGAAATGGGCTTCACACATTGTACCCATGTCGGGGATCGAACCCGGATCTTCGTCGTGACGAGCGAATCATCTCTAATAAGTATATTAATATGACCTGTTCAGATCCTTCATAAACAAAATCAATAAAAGGAATGAACCACGAAACATTCACACCACTTACACTGTTCTCGACAATTAGAACGTATATTCACAAGACACCCCCCTCGGACTGGCTGGCCCTTTCACAACTGCCGGGACTTGCAGTGGGTATCGATAACGCCCGTGTATCTATCTGTCCGTGATCAGGGACAGAAAAATTGTACACAAAGTCGGCGATCTAAACCACTAAGCCACCGAGGCTTCCGAAAAAAATGAAAGTCCAACAACTGGTAGCCTAGAACACATACTTGCGCTGAATTTGTGGGCTTGCGATTAGGTGCCCACTCTGAGAGTTGGGTTCGAATCCCAGATGGTACCAGATTTTGTACTTCGTAAATATCTGACAGAGTGTTGACGACATCCATCAAAAATTAAAACCAAAAATGTATTGGTCATTTTGGCATGGATTGGAATTGATTTGCGTGGAAGGAATGCGGTACTGCAGAAATGTGGTATGGTCCATCCCACTGTCGATGCAGTTTGCGGCTGAGGAGGGCTTTAAGAATTCATTTCTGCAAATTTCTGTCTAAATGTGAAAGTGGGGGTTTGGGCTTTTCTGTCATACCTAGCTCTGAAGGATTCTTTGGTTGCCAGGACATTCTGTTAGGCAATGTTTCAAGCCCTTTCCAAATTATCTAGTAGATCAGTCTGTGTTTTTCGATATAGGTTCTAGGGATTGGTTGAAAGATGTTGTCAGTTGGCATGCACGATTCTCGCCCGAACAACATGAGAGACCAGCGGCCCAACTTTCCAATAGCATTTTCGAACAACATGAGAAATTGCAGGGCTGAATGGTGAGTACTCACTGAAGTTGTTGTATGCTAAATATGAAATGTTTGATCCAACGACAATCGCCAGGCACTCCTTTTGAGTGACAGGGTACAATTTTGTACTTTGTTTCCTGTTGATTATCATCAATCTGTGACAGTACCCAACCCATGCTGCTGTCACAGGCGGCACATGCTGATATGAAGGGTTTGTTGAAATCATGGGAAACCAGTATTGGGGAAAAGATGAGTGTTTGTTTTAACTCCAAGAATGCATTTTCGGCTGTCTCAGACCATCTGAAGGTGACAGCAGGGTGTGTAGGTGGGTACCCATCATTGCAGAACCCTTTATGAATATGCGATAGTAGGACGTTAGCCCAAGGTTGGTTGGTTGGTTGGTTGTTTTACGTCGCACTCAGCAATATTCAAGCTATATGAAGGCGGTCTGTGAATAATCGCATCTGGACCAAACAATCCAGTGATTAATATCATGAGCATCGATCCGCGCAATTGGGATCGATGACATGCATCAACCAGTCAGCGAGCCTGACCAACCGATCCCATTAGTCGCCTTTTACGACAAGCACAGTCACCTTTTACGGCAAGCATGGGTTGCTGAAGACCTATTTCACCCCGGAATCTTCATGGGTCCGTTAGCCCAAGTAATGCTCGCACTTCACAGATGTTCTCCACTTTCAAGGGATCGGAAGATACCCCTTCCTTAGAGATAACATGACCTAGATAGGACATTTCCTTCACTGCAACGTTGTATTTTGAGGGTTTGAATTTGAGCCCAGTCTCCCAAAATTTGTTCAATACCGCTTCTAAATGAAGGAGGTGTTCGTCAAAGGACGACCTGTGAAACATATTTGTAAGACGTTCCCGAGAATATTGAGGATATAATGAAGACAAAACAACTTGGGGAGTTGACAAATCCGAAGGGCATGGCCTTGACGTGGAACTGTCCGTGACGGAAACTGATGACAGCCGCTCATCATGTCAAGAGATGAGAAAATGTGGGGATGACTTTCTCCAAGTGACATCAACGATTCATCGATATTGATGATTGGGTAATGTTAAACGAACGTGAATTTGTTATCCCGCGATAATCCACACAAAATCGTGTATCTCCTGTCTGCTTCTTTACTAGTAACACAAGAGCAGGCCATGGGGAAAAGGGTGGTTCAATGATGTCATTGTCTAACCTATCCTGAATGTTGGTGTCCATGTCATGTCTGTTTTCGATGTACTGGATAGGGGCGTTTTCGATTGTGGTCACCAATGTCTATGGAATGGAAGAACATGTGGGTCATGCCCAGTTCAGGGATGGTACCTGCCAGTAGTATGTCTGGTGTTCTTCAGACAAGTCAACGTGGATCAGGTCACTGTCTTGTTCAGCAGCTCGTTGTCTCAAGCAGCAGTGGCATTGTCAGAGAAAGATATATGATTGATTTTTTTAACTGATCAGATGGGGTGTCGCTGAGTGGGCCTAACTGAAAGTTGGAATCAGGTGACTCAAACATAGCAATAGGTGCATTTACCGTTAAAATGATTGTAGTGAGTGAGTCATTTTTTATGCCGCTTTAAGCAATGTTCAAGCAATATCACGGCGGGGGACACCACAAATGGGCTTCACACAATGTACCCATGTGAGGAATCGAACCCAGGTCTTCAGCGTGACGAGCGAACACTTTAACCACTAGGCTACCCCATCGCCCCAAAACGATTATTGTTGAATTGGTAGGGGTTGAGTAATCTGTACGGGACTTGAGAGTCAACGCATCTCACTATACAATGAATACCTATCACCTGATTTGTTTGAGTTACGTTACTAAGTGGCTGCTGTGTGCCAGGGAGGTCGATCGGGGTGTTAATTGGCATGTCCAATACCAGAAAATACTTGGTGAAATGTTGACATGTTTGGGACATCTGGACAAAAGACTATCTGTCCAGGGGCTAAGCCATTATAAAGGCAAAGTTTGTTGTCAGAATAATCTTCTGAGGCCGCATGCTGTTTTAGAAGGGCCTAGTTAAATGTCTTGCAGTAGGTCGTCCACTACATAGAACTTGTGGGTGAGTTTGAGAGTGCCAGTGGATAGGACTGAGTCGACTGGCCCAGGCACGCAAAGCATTCTACAATCTGGTTCTGCTAACTGAGCGTTACAACTGGGAGTGAGAGGGAATCTGCCTAGACAGTTGAAATGGGATAGGCCAATATAACGCGTACAAGCTCAAGTATCAAGGGCATTGAAGCATGTATTGTGATAGTGACCAACACGGTGCTATGTCCTTTGCTGATGCTGTTTAGGGCTTGGGATATGAGTGAAGGAGGTGTACTAGGTTTCTGCAATGCCTATTGCACAGTGCTCTCCTGGCATAATTGCCTATATTGTGACTGAATGGGGCACATAAGGCCAAGACGACCTTGTTAGTAAGTTGTAACAGCGGAAATATTGGAGCTTACATTCTTGTGGGGATGAAGGGAAATAGACATCTGGTTCTTTTCTGAAAGTGTAAAAAGTCAAGAACGCCTTTGAGTTTTTGAGAATCCATATGGTATTAATTCCACTTGTCTCAAATATACTGAACAACAAAAGCTCCTGTGACATTGTCTAAGATTTAATGCAAAGTTATGTTTTTTACCAAATCTGAAACAATTTCGGTTTGCAACAGATAAAAGACTCCTGTAAGTTTTCAAAGGGTTTAATGTGCCATGCTGACTTCAGAAAAAGCGTGATTTCATAAAAAACAACAACATGAACATGCCAAAATGTCAATTTACAAATCAATAGCGTGTGTGTCCACCTCCGGTTGCGATGCAAGGAACACATCTTCGACTCATGGAATGGACCAGGCGTCGCACAAAGTCCTGTGGGATGTCTGTCCATATCTGCTGGAGCATGTTTCGAAGTTCCTGGTGTGTGTCTGTGGAACACGTGGTTGACGTCGAAGGCGCCGATCAATCTCATCCCACATAGGCTCTATTGGTGAGAGATCTGGGGACCGAGCCGGCCAGGGAATGACATTCGCGTTGTTTTGTTGAAGAAAATCCTGAACAAGTCGAGCAATATGAGGCCGGGCGTTGTCATGTTGAAAGGTAAAACGGTAGAACAACAGGGCCGAGGTTCTCGTCGCGGTAGCGCTGTCCATTGGGATTTCCCTCTACCACTATCAAACGGGTCCTCTGTCTTGCTGTAATCCCACCCCATACCATAACGCTGCCGCCCCCGAACCGATCTTCTTCCATGACACAATGATTGACGTAACGTTGACTCGATCCTGCTTCAAGCATACCAATGGCTCGCAGACGCTCATTTTTGGACAGGCTTGGCATTTCGTAATGTTGAATAATTGCGTAATTTTGTTGTTTTTCTGAGTGGTTGTTGTCAGCACGATGCTAAACAATGAATATGGAATCCCGTTAACGCACATGTTTTTATACCCATTCTTCGGGAGTGAAATGCATGGGGCTTGCATAAAAGCTTTTGCATGGAATGCATGCTTTTCTGTAGCAGTTGCGTTTTTGTGACTTGATTCCATACATGTACTACAATATTGAAAACCAAACTTAACTTGTTGGACAAATACACTCAAATATTGGTGTCTCAGAACTTTTGTTGTTGAGTATACTTCCTTGATTGTATTAAGGATTATCAGTAATCGTTGATACAGGCATTTGGTGGTACATTTGATGGACCCCGTAATATATCTCTCTTTGTAAGGAATTTTATAGAGCTTTGGAATCCAGTACAAAAGAGGCATGGACATGTCTTCAGGTTTTAGAGGGGGCGGTCGGGTAGCCTAGTGGTTAAAGCGTTCGCTCGTCACGCCGAAGACCCGGGTTCGATTCCCGACATGGGTACAATGTGTGAAGCCCATTTCTGGTGTCCCCCGCCGTGATATTGCTGGAATATTGCTAAAAGCGGCGTAAAACC